AATCTTTGGATTCACGCGCTGAATTGTGTAATAATAAGAAAAGGTAAGGTTGGAGTTACTTTTCTGACTGTATTGGCTAAATATATTGTAGATGACCATTTTAGCTATTTTTTCATATGATTTTTCTTTATTTTATTAATAAAATATATTTTAATCCCCCCCCACAAATCAGCAGAATCAGTCAATACAGTCACTTCAGTCAGAACTTCATAAATTTCAGCAGAATCAGCCGATACAGCCGATTTGGGTGTTACCAAATGGGTCCGATAGGCACCCTCAACTGCCCGAACAGTGTCTAGCTAGCTAATTTTAGAACAATGATCACACCTAAGTCTGAAGAATTTCATTTATGCCTAACCATATTTGTATAGCTAGACATATAACTCGAGTTCTAAAATCCTCAGAGACTAACTCATTGAACATAAATGTAAAAAACTGAACTCTATTGGCTTCACGCTTAAGGGTTAGATTTGGAGGCCGTTTGGCAGCACTGTTTTTCGGCTTATCAGGCTTATCAGCCAACCTTTTCACCAAACACGTAACTTTTACTTTCGCGTGCTGAGTTGTGTAATAAGCAGAAAAAGTAAGGTTGAAGTTACTTTTCTGACTGTTTTGGCTGAAGTTACTATAGATGACCATTTTAGCTATTTTTACATATAATTTTTTCTTTATTTTATTTATAAAATATATTTTAAAAATAATTTTTTTCTTAAATCAACAGAATCAACCAATACAGCCACTTCAGCCAGAACTTCAGAAATTTTAGCAGAATCAGCCAAAACCAGTGGCGTATCCAGAAAATTCACTCAGTGGGGGCGAATTTTCACTTAGTTATCACACATTTTTTAGGAAATAAATATTAGTTAAAAATTGACAATTTATTAAAAAATAATTTAATTTTTTTATAAGAAACAGATGAAATATGTAATTATAGTTTACAACTAATTTAAGTTCCAATAAACAAGTGTGTTTTAATATAAAGTGTGAAAAGTTGTGATTGAAATTACATACTCCCTCCGTCCCACTAAAATTGTCTCATTTCATCTTTTTAGAAAATCCCACTAAGATTGTTCCATATTAAATTGGGGTTAGGTCATGAATAATACTAACTAAAACCATTTGGACAAATATAAGACCTCTATTAAAACTTACCAAGAAAGTGATCATGCGTGTGCATTAATTAAAAACTTAAGATTAATATGCCTAATATACCCCTGCTAGTCAACCAGCGGTACACTAAATATGAAGCATCGATCATCTCTCCCTGCATGTGTTCGGTGTTCCAGACTATGATTATAAATTTTTTATATTATTCCTCAATTATAATTAGGTGACAACTCCGGTACCCTTCTAAAAAATAGGGTACCGTACCTACTATTCATTTGATTGGACCACATCACTTTATCATTTTTAATTTAGATTTAAATAATTCAACTGCTATATTCTCATTGGTCCATGTGGACAAAAATATGGTACCTTATGGGTACCATAGAATCTACCTTATAATTAAAAGATGACCATTTAATCTGATAAATTACAATTACACATCCAACAAGTTACAATTATTCGTCTATTCGTCCAATCAATTACATTTACCCGATCTGACCAGTTACAATTATTTGATTCGACCAGTTACAATGACCCACTTCGATCAATTAGAGTTACCCGATTCAACCAATTACAGTTATCTGATTCGATCAGTTACAATGACCCACTTCGATCAATTGGAGTTACCCGATTCAACCAGTTACAATTACTCGATCCGACCAGTTACCCGCCCCGACCAATTACAATTCCCCGAATCGACCAGTTACAGTTACTCAACCATCCAATTACATTTACCTGATCCGTCTAGTTACAATTACTCGATTCATCCAATTACAATTAACTGATTCATCCAGTTACAATTTTCCGACCCGTCCAGTTACCATTACTCGATCCGTCTAGTAACAGTTACCCGATCGTGCAGTTACAGTTATCCGATTCGTCAGTTACCATTATCTAACTCGTCCATTTAGTTACCTGAATTTACCCGGTACAATTTCCGGATACAATAATGACCAACTCCGAAAACCACCATCGTTGGCCGCCATCCCGGGCCCCCAAACCCACCGCTGGAAACCACCCCCGTCCACCCCCGTTGGCCGTTGGCCCCCAACTCGACTACCAACGCTGGCCGCTGGCCCCAACTCTACTACCACCGCTAGAAACCACCACCGTCCACCACCGCTGGCTGTTGGCCCCCCAACTCGACTACCAACGCTGGCCGCTGGCCCCCAACTCTACTACCACCGCTGGAAACCACCACCGTCCACCACCGCTGAATGCTATCACCGTCGCCGCCCATCACCCACCACCTCTGAAGCCCCCCAACCCCCAGACCCCTTCTCAGCCCCAAGCTCTGTCCCGCCAGCCCACCCCAACCCCTCCATCCAACCTCACCAGCCCACCCTAGCCTCCCCCAATCCCTGCACCGCCCCCATCTCCCACACCATCGCTGCCGACACCCTTCAACCTCCTCCCCAACCCTCACATCATCAGAAGAAACATGTAACACTACCTGCAATGGACCTAGATCTAAAAATTTCTTGTCGGCGTCGCTTAATTAACCCTAGATGCGAAGGTGACGATTCGTTATCGGAGAAGAAGAAGATATAGGTGGAAGAAGATGATTCGAAATCTAAAACTTGAGATGTCGCTGTCGTGAATCTCGCCGTCATTGTCGAAGCTTCGCCCGTCGCACTTCATCACACTCTGTCCGTCGTACGCCGTCACACTCCGTCCGTCGCACCTCATTCGCTTCACGCTGTTCGTCGCACGTCGTCTGGTTCCATGGTTTCAGCTCCTACATCTTTGCGGCGAAGAAGGCACGAGAGATTTAGATGCGATTATGTGAATCGGCGAAGAAGAAAGGAGACGGGAAGTTAAGAAAAGCAGGGATATTTTTGAAACTTCATAATATTTTAGTATGTTTTCTGTCCTACACGAATATGGTCCTATTTTTGTAAAATTAAAAGTCGGAAATCATAGATTTGTCATTATTTCTAATAAACTTGGTAAAAGTTTGTGTCGCTTTAAATCATTTTTACTTTATTCTTACTTATTACGGAGTAATTCAATATCAATAACATAAACACACTTTTCTTAATAACCGTGTCACGTCCTCTTGTTCTAATATTAGTGGAACAGAAATTGTATCATTTATAAGTTACATTAAAACAAATTATCTTTAATTAATTTGGATCTTAGGTTTGACATTTTATAGTTTATATTAAATACAAGGGCAAAACTACATAAGAAATAGATAAAATAGGTAATTATAAGTGATGTAGTTACAAATAAACAAGTTTTAACAAGTTTTAATATTAAGTGTTAAAAAGATGTTATTGAATCCTAAATTTGGACAAATATTACAGTTTCACAAGGGAAAAAAACTGCACTCCACTAGGAGGAATATGACATTGCCAGAAGGATTCGAACCCAGACATCCTAAGCAGCGTGCAAAACTACAGCTGCTGGACTACGGAACTCAATCTAGTAATTTAGGATCATAAATTTTCTTATACTATACATAAGATAATGATACATGCACCCAAATAAAATTTGTTATATATATATAATAGGGTTGGGTGGAGGTTGAGTGGGGGCAGCTGCCCCCTGCCCCCACGCCAGATACGCCCCTGACCAAAACAGTCGATTTTCGTGTTACCAAACGGGCTCTGGATCATATCTATCCCTCAAGATTTGTATCTGAGTCCATTTTCATATCATCATCATATAATCATGTAGTTGGAGTTTTATGACATAATTTCAGATTTCCAAATAAATAAAAACAGGCACAATTGTGTTATACGAAGTAAATGTTAAGAAGTCCATGTGGTAGTTAACTGTTGGTGTAAAAACTGAATTATTCAGAGTAATAAATATAAAGTCGATCGCATGGTTAATTAAAATCTGTATGCGTATGAGGTTGTACTTACGTTCACATTAGTAGTGGACTAGATGGTAAAAAAAAGGTAACAACTCCGGTACCTTTCTGAAATATGGGGTACCGTACCTATCATTCATTTGATTGGACCACATTACTTTATCATTTTTAATTTAGATTTAAATAATTCAACTGCTACATTCTCATTGATCCATGTAGACAAAGATATGGTACCTTATGGGTACCATAGAATAATCTACCAAAAAAAGTGTGTGTTTAGAGAATTTAGTAGTGGACTAGTGGTACGCCGGGTTGTGGATATGTGTTAATTTAGCATTGAGAAAAATATTAAGATTGTGTGTTTTATAGAGAATTTAGTTCTTGATGACGTATTTAGAAGTAAATGTGTAGTATATGTTCAATAGTGCATTAGTCAGTTTAGATTTATAATACTTGTATATTGCATGTTACCGGTATGGCGGTGTCACCATATTTGGTGTGAAAAGTGGATACTTAGAGTAAAAGGGTATGCAAGTGATGTTCTGATCTACATTAGAGTAAAAGCGTGTTATTATATGCTAATTGTGCATTAGAAAAAATTCATTGAAAATCTTCACGCGGGTGAAATTCATATAAGAATAATCCATTTTTTCAGAGATTCTATAATAATAATCGCTACTAAGAGTGTTCACAAAAATAATTCTAATTAGCAATGATGTTTACATGATGAATAAATTGAGATAAATTCAAACCAATAATGCTTGTTGGAAGATAGAAGTGTACATTACACGAGACGAAGAGTGATGAAGTGGTGTAGAGCTTGAGAGTATTAAGCGGGAATTATTTTGAATTTACTCTAGTTTATTCTTGTAGATACAATTGCTATTTCAGATTATTTTTATGAATACTCCCAATATGAATTATTATTATAGAATCCCTGAAATTAAGGATTATTCTTATGAATTTTAAAAAGAAGGAGGAGGATAATAAGGTAATAATTTTACTTCAAATATATCTCAAATCATTAAATGTTATTGAAACATTAATTCCAAATGGAATGAAATTGAAAGTGGTTACCAACTTAAGTTAAAGGAGATGAATATTGAAATGCTCTTAAATTTCAATGTTATCGAAAGTAGTGAAGCTTTGAAGTAAATTAACGATTGGGATTTATTTTAAATTTTTACATCAAGAACTCTTCTCATTCGATTCAAAGTACATATTAGTGGCCCTGTTGTACTAGAATGAGCCGTTATCTAAGTTGAAAGCATATAACCCCTCCCTTTCATACTATCTCTAGCATGAGTTTCACGTAATTTTTTAAAATTATGTTGGTATAAAAAAAGTAAGTTTTGGACGGTTTTTATGATAATTTTGAAAAATATAGTGAAAGAAGTAATTTGAAATAATACAAAAAAGTGACCCAAATAATATGAGGGGGGGGGGGGGGGGGGGGGGGGATTAATGGTTGTGAGGATAGAGGCGAATGGGGAGGTCCATAGCAGGCCTAGGCATGGGATCGAACACAATCTTTTCTTGTGGAATAATTTGTTCCCACTTGAAGCGCTTCACGAGGTTGTGCATGAACACCAATATCTCTAGCCGCGCGTACTCTTTTCCAGGACACATCCTCGGCCCACCCCCAAATGGCAAGTATGTGTATGGAGCTGGCCCACTCCCTTCGAACCTTGTCGGGTCAAATTTTTCTGGTTCTTTGAACACTTCTGGATTCTTATGTGTAGAATTTACGCTCCAATACAACTGCATGCAAATGTACGGGTAAGTAACATACATCAAAATTTTTTTGCACTTATTTAAGAATGGAGGTTGTATTTTGTATTAATTAAGGTAGTCTTTGTTATGGAGTAAGAAAAAATAAATATCCCTCGGTTTCATTCTTTGATTTTTTGTTACTTATTCAAAGATCACATTACTTTATATCACAAGTGTTTTTTCAATACTTTGTTTCAATATATGTTATTGAAATGTAAACTTACTATAGATTTTATATCCACTTATTACCGTAAAAGGCAATATTTGAACTTAATATGGAAACTGGGGGAGTAAATAATAAGACTTAGCTTGAATTATTCCTTCAATTCTTCATTAGAGATTGCTCAAAATAAGAGTAAAATATGGGCAAAGGTAGAAAATATGATTGCTCATTTCTTATTTCTAAATTAGGACTTATTGAGAAAGTTAAATAAAAAATATCTTTTGGAGAATTTTCTCATTTTTTGTTAGGTTAAACTTTTACTGTGAAATTTAACTCTTAACACATATATGAACGAAAACTAATTAATTTTGTTTGCAATTTAAGTAACAAAACTTATACGTAGTATGTAGTACGGAGTATATGATAAGGATGTGTGTGGGGGGGCAAATTTCAAAATAAGATAAAAAGAACACAAAATTTCAAGTTAAGAGTACTATTGTCTTCTGAATATGAGTAAGAAGCTGTTCTGTTCGTCTTAATCTTATTACTTATTGCTTATTCTTATTTTATTCAGATCAGATCAGATCAGATCAGATCAGAAAAATTCAGAAAGATTCAGATCAGATCAGATCAGAATCATTCAGATCAGATCAGAAACATTCAGATCAGATCAGAAACATTCAGATCAGATCAGGAACATTCAGATCAGATCAGGAACATTCAGATCAGATCAGAAAAGTTCAGACATGATTTATCCCTTTTATTATAATAATAATTATAATAATATTAATAATAATTATAATTATTATAATTATAATAATAATAATTATTATTATTATGATCATCATCATCATCATCATCATCATCATCATCATCATCATCATCATCATCATCATCATCATCATCATCATCATCATCATCATCATCATCATCATCATCATCATCATCATCATCATCATCATCATCATCATCATCATCATCATCATCATCATCATCATCATCATCATCATCATCATCATCATCATCATCATCATCATCATCATCATCATCATCATCATCATCATCATCATCATCATCATCATCATCATCATCATCATCATCATCATCATCATCATCATCATCATCATCATCATCATCATCATCATCATCATCATCATCATCATCATCATCATCATCATCATCATCATCATCATCATCATCATCATCATCATCATCATCATCATCATCATCATCATCATCATCATCATCATCATCATCATCATCATCATCATCATCATCATCATCATCATCATCATCATCATCATCATCATCATCATCATCATCATCATCATCATCATCATCATCATCATCATCATCATCATCATCATCATCATCATCATCATCATCATCATCATCATCATCATCATCATCATCATCATCATCATCATCATCATCATCATCATCATCATCATCATCATCATCATCATCATCATCATCATCATCATCATCATCATCATCATCATCATCATCATCATCATCATCATCATCATCATCATCATCATCATCATCATCATCATCATCATCATCATCATCATCATCATCATCATCATCATCATCATCATCATCATCATCATCATCATCATCATCATCATCATCATCATCATCATCATCATCATCATCATCATCATCATCATCATCATCATCATCATCATCATCATCATCATCATCATCATCATCATCATCATCATCATCATCATCATCATCATCATCATCATCATCATCATCATCATCATCATCATCATCATCATCATCATTATCATTATTATTATTATTATTATTATTATTATTATTATTAGCTATATTTATAACTATCGTAATACGTATAATAATAATTATACCTATTATAATTCTTATAATTATAATTATAATTTTTTAATAATTATGATTATAATTATAATTATATTTAAATTATATATGTGTAATTACATTTCTAATTATTATAATAAAAGTTAAAATTATAATTTTAGAAATATTTAAATCAGACCAGATCAGAAGGATTCGGATCAGATAAGAAACATTCAGATCAGATCAGGAACATTCAGATCAGATCAGGAACATTCAGATCAGATCAGGAACATTCAGACCAGATCAGACCAGATCAGAAAGATTCAGATCAGATCAGATCAGATCAGATCAGAACTTAAAAAATTCAGATCAGGTGAAGAGAACACCTTCTAACTTACTTTATTGTCATATTTTGACAATATTTGACTTTAATGTGGCAGTACTAATATCATACGTAGTAATTGATACGGAGTAGTAGTTACACTTGATTTAAACAATAAAAATATAATGACTCCATTTTGAAACTCGAGATGTCCACATTATTTTCACTCTCGGGCAATTTCTAATGTATAAATTAATGTAGATTCTATGGTACCCATAAGTTACCATACCTTTGTCTACATGGACCAATGAGAATGTAGCAGTTGATTTATTTAAATCTAAATTAAAAATGATAAAGTGATGTGGTCCAATCAAATGAACGGCAGGTACGATACCCTATATTTTAGAAGAGTACCAGAGTTGTCACCATAAATTAATTGAAAGACATGGATATTAAAATCACACGTACCTTCCATCCTTTGGGAATGCGGAAGCCCTTGAAGGTGAAATCTGTCAAGGCTTCACGGAAAGAACCCTGGAGGGGTGGGGCAAGCCTCAAAACTTCACATGCCACATTCCATGAGTATTTCATATTCTGAATGTCTTCCCAGTTCAATAATTCTCCTCCTCTCTTCGACTTCACGATCTCCATTTGCTCTGCAATATTCGATCCAATGCATCATTTCTCATGTAAATAATGATGCATGTAACTCAAATAATATTATTTTGTTTTGCATTGAAATTTTACTTAAATAGGTTTACACTCCCTATGTGATATGCATGCAATATCGCAATGTATATGTGGTGGCACAACATCAATGAATTAGTTTTCATTTGGACTCATCATGTTTTTTTTTTATCTCAGCACACTCGATCTGGTTGGATAAAAATATGATACATAGTGCTACCTCCATCCCGTTGGAAGGTTCTCATAGCAAAACGATACAGTTATTTAGATTATAATTAAAGCAAGTACTTCGAGTATATTTTGAGAAATAATTTTAATAGGTATATATTATAATGTAGTTAGTATTGATAACTGTGATGTTATAAATATATTACTTTTAATATTTAATGCTTAATTTATCACTTAAGATTGTTAATTGTTTCCTAAAATGGAAATGAGAACCTTCTAATGAGACGTCCAAAAAAGTAAAGTGGGAACCTTCTAACGGGACAGAGGGAGTATATGTTAATTTTGCTATATTTTCAAAATCTTGTTTAATATAGTATAGTCTAATTTGTTTAAATCTTTTCTAGTTTGATTTATTTAAGTATGGTTTAATAACAAGAAACAAGTACAAGTGAAAACATGCTAGCTATTTGCTTAGATAAATTAAAACTCCTTTTTCACACACACAAACACACACATATATAAAGTTTACACACAAAAAGTTACTCATAAAAAAGGTATTTAATTTGTTTTGAAAGGAAATTGTTCAACACAAGACTGATATCCATAATGTTCAACAATAAGGCTAAATATAATCTATTCTCAAAATAAGACTTACATTTAAATTCACCGTGAATGAGTTTTTTATTTAAATTAAAAAATAAGGAATTAAATTTTCCGAAATAGAAGTAAAAAATAATGTAAAATTTTTTCTTTTGATCGTAAATAATGTAAAATTTTAAAAATAGGATTGTAATTTTTTTTAATCCTAAATAGGTGCACGTGACTTTATCATCAAAATTTAATACTCCCTCCGTCCCAATTTGTTTTGCAAAGTAAACATTTTTTGGTCAACCAATAATAAAAGTCAACCCCTCTTTACGGATAATTAACTCAATTTTTAATAAATAAAATTTACATATTCATAAACTACATTAAAATCTCTTCAAAGTTGTAAACACCAAATTAGAATATTATTAATATTGACATCCTAATTAAGCACACAAAACAAAATTGTTTGACAAAAAAAGTCAAATTTGCAAATCAGATTGGGACGGAGGTAGTACCATATTTTGACTTTTTTAGCTCACTTATGAGTGATATGACACTATACTGCCAAAGGTGGCGGAATCCTAACACAAGTGAAAAATTTATGATAGAGTATATGGGTCTGGACCCCATGGCCCGCACACTCAAGTCAACGATGACTAGAAGAATGTCCACGTGGCCCCCTTCGGCCCAGTGGGACCCGCTTCGGCCAAAAGTCAAACCGGCCCAGAACACGCACCTGGACTTCCGAGACCGCATCGGCCCATGGACCGCATCGGCCATGAGACCGCATCGGCCAAAGTGCACCGCACCGGCCAGACTTCGTCATGGCAGAATACATCTCTCTACTTTATTTTCTAAGTATTGTACACAACCCATTAAATTAGTGGCCCTATTTCGCCCAAAGAAGACATGATTATTGTAATGGGCCTCCTAATTAAGCTCATGGCTAGGAGCCCAAATCCACATTTTTACCTATAAATAGACCCCTTGGGGCTAGTTATAGGGTGTTGAGAAATATAATTACCCACTTTCTCTCTCTAGCTCTCACTTCTCTCTAGAATTAATACTCTATCAATATAATACTCTTATTTTTTAATTTCAAACAATAGTTCGGCTGAAGAAATTAATAAAGAGCACAACAAAGAGGTGGACGGTCGTGTGTTTATATATTCCAAAATAGGATGGGAGTAAAATGTTTGTAAATTGTTTGTCATGATTTTATTCCCTAATAAATAAATATAAAAAGTTTATAAATTTCATAATATGACTATCATTATTTTTGTTCTCTAAATAGCAATAATTGACGTACTGTCATGTTTTGATAGTATCAAATAAAATTTAATTAAACATGGTGCAAGTTTGAAATTCCTATTTTGATAGTATCATAATATGACTTGGAGAAGAAAAAAAATGACAATCCTATTTTGAAATTCCAAAATTTGAGATTTTCCCGAATAATTAACATGACTTGAAGAACAACTAATAATATACATTTGGATTAAACCTAGGTGAGTAGAAAATCAATAGATTTTAATGTAGAGGAGTGTTATGTTAGAAATTAAGCATTTTTTCTATTGGACTGAAACCTACTAATTTGGTTTGGTATGGTAGAGTATCATGTTTTATAACATGGAGACATGGAGTCATGGAGCATATCATTACCTGTATAGACACGTTGGTAGACGTGAGGAAGCTCAGCCAAATATTTAACGACGAAGGCACAAGCAGAGCTAGCAGTGTCATGGCCGCCGATGAGAAGCCCCAAAATCTTGTCGGCGATATCCCACTCCGCCATGAACGTCCCGTCCTCGTTGCTCGTCACCAGCATGTGCGACAGAATGTCTTGGCTCGCCGTCGCCGTCCCCTCCGCCAGCTCTCTCTTCCTCTGCTTTATGACCGCCGCCAGCAGCTCCTTCCTTATGAGCTCCGACGCCTGTATCGCCCGCCGGAACGGCGTCCAGGGCAGATCTATGGGGACGGAGAAGACGCCGGTCGCGATGACGTCGAAGGGCTCGGAGAACTGGGCGACCTGGACCGGGTCCTCCACGCCGATGAAGATCCGGCAGGCCAGCGAGAAGGTGAAGCGCTTGGCGAGGGGGAGGACGTGGACTTGATTCTTGCTTTCCCAGCCGTCGGCGAAGTGGCGGCGGGCGAGGTCGTCCATGATTCCGACGTACCGTTGGAGCGCTTCCGGTTTGAAGAAAGTGGGGAGCATCTTCCTCATTTTCAGTGATTCCTCTTTCAAAGAGGTCTGGCTTGTGGATGGGAAGATCTTGTTCACCGAATCAGGCCACCATGCCTACAATCACAACGGACGTTCAAATTTGATCAATCATATTTTTGAAAGGAGATTTCTATCAAATTGTACACAAAACTCTTCTAATTGTGTGTCTACATACACAATTCATTTAAAAAGAGGCATAACTTGACGTCTATACAGGCAATGTACACATTTTGTGTACAACTTGTGTACAACAAGAATGATCCAAAGTTTAAAGATTGTCCCAAGGTTTCTTTATTGTCCGTCCCACTAAGATTATTTCATATTAAATTTGATAAATTAATTTTGTGTGATTCTAACTCATACTTACTTTATCAAAATTCAATATCAATCACACAAATTTATTTTTTAATAATTGCACCACTTCCTCATTTCTCAATATAAGTGGGACAGATGTAGTATAAACTGTTTTATCACGGACATGTTTACTTCACATGATTTAAAACAACGTTTAACATTAAAATGTTCAAAACAATGCTATACATATAAAGGCACACAAACATTCAAGTATACACAAGTATATAATATGTGGTAGCCCACCCCTACCCGTACTAGTCCCCGTACCCCTTACCCGTACAAGTCCCCGTACCCCTACGCCTCCCCCCAAACCTTACACGTTATACACCCCCACCCCTACCTATCTCTACATGTACCCCATTACCCCGTGCTCACTGCCCGCCCTCCTACCCCTAACCCCGTACCACTTACCCCTGACCCCAAGGGCAGGTAGGATAGGGCGGTAGGGATGGGGGTGGATGGAGAGGGTTCTGGATGGATGTCCATGGTCGTTTGAAAATAACCTTGTGATTCTGACGAGACTCGAGGGTTTAGATAACTCGAAATATGTACCTCTCATGTACTAGAATTTTTGGCTGGAAGTTTATGACCTTCTTGCGTTATATTTCACGGAGAAGATCGCCATGATCATTAGAAACTACGTCAGAAAGTTTGTTACGGTGTATCAAAACAATTTCAAGGGACGACGTTGGCTGGAATATACGCGGATTCGGGTATCGCTGAATGTGGAAGCACCTTTTAGGAGTCGGATGAGGCTGGAAGTAAGATTTTCTGGGTGACTTTCAAGTACGAGAGACTTCCTCGTTTTTGTTTCATTAACGTCTTTGTCCCAGATTGTTCGACAATTATACAGATGATCAAGGTAAACCATTTGGGGTGTGGTTGAAGGTTAAGGGGCGGCGAAACACCGAGTATAGTGGAAGTAAATGGTTGGTGGGTGCTTCGAATAGGGAGAAAGCTAGACAGGAAAGGACTGACCAGCAAGGGGATCAATCTCATAAGAACTTTGCAAAAGACACATAATTTGTGCCTTTGGATGCTGCTCCGATCCACCTAGGAAGGAAAAGGGGCTGGTTATCTAGCAGGAGGGGGAGGCTTTAGTCGGGGGGGGGGGGGGGGGCATGCAATAGAAGAGGAAGGTTTTTTGGAGTTGGGGAGAATGAGGAAGTAAATTACAAGTCTAGTTTAGTGGAGTTTCAGCAAAAAAAAAAGGATTAGAGGTGGGTCCTAGTGTCTAGACCCGCATAGAATCCTGAGTTGTATTAATTGGAACTGTCGAGGGCTTGGCAACCCTACGACAATTCAATCATTAGTGAAATTAGTCCACACAAAGAGGCCAAAGTTAGTTTTTCTAATGGAAACTTTTATGATTTTTTCAAAAGTAGAGGAGGAAAAGAAAAAGACAGATTTGAAAATGTTCATTTAGGGTGGATTGTGTTGGTCACAAGTGGGGCTTGCCTTGTGTGGGAGGATGGGGTTGAGGTGCATTGTGCATGTATAAACTTCTTCTGCTATCTTTATTAATGTAAGTGAGAATGGAAGAAGATGACCTGCCTTGGCAATTTACAAGTTTCTATGGGTACCAAAAACAGCAGAGATGACGGGAGGCGCAAAGTTTATTGAAATCTCTAAACTTAAGTTCACAACTTTCTTGATTGGTTATGGGTGACTTTAATGATCTGCTTTACCCTCCGTAGAAGAGGGGGATGGTTCCTTATCCTCCTTAGTTGCTGTAGGGTTTTAGAGAGGCTGTCGGGGCTAGCGAGCTTCACAATTTTACATCATCTGGTATAGTAGTATTATTGGAGCCCAAATAACTCAGAAATGTATCTCTTATACAGAGTATATGATACTCCGTATATATTACATTGGTTCTAGTGAAATATTTATTTCGAATTGTATTGTTTGTATATTTTGTCATTCACGTTTGCAAAAACTAAAAAAATGTTTTTCAGTATTTAGTTTTAAAAAACTAAAATAAGTGTTTTCGAGTGACGCCTTTCACTTAAATTAAAAGCTAAAAGTTAAATCGATGAGTGTTTTAAACAACTTTTCACTTTTTTTTAATACACAAAACACATAATTTTCAAACACTACTAACTTTTACTACAATTGAACACACTTTCTCAAAAGGTGACAACTCTGGTACCCATTTAAAAAATGGGGGTACCGTACCTATCATGTATTTGATTGGTCCAAATCATTATATGCTTTTTAATTTAGATTTAAATAATTCAACTGCATCATTCTTATTGATCAATTTAGACAAAAGTACGGTACATTTGTGGTACCATAGAATCTACCTTCTCAAAATTGAGTTTACAAATCACCTTTTTAAAATAGAACGAATGACAAACACTCGTGGACTGTAGGTAGGAGTCTAGCTTTGTCTATGTACTACGGAGTATGCCTTTGCAAGACATTATTGTACGTAGCAGGGAGGCATTAATATTGGTAGTGACTACTAGGGGTGTTTGGATCTGATTCTCAAAACTGATTCTGCTCCTTCAGGGAGCAGAAGCAGAAGCTCGATTGTTTGGGTGAAATTCCAGAAGCACTTCTGGAGCTCTAATTTACTCTCAGAATCAGTTTTTTTAGAAGCTGGGAGGTACCAGCTTCTGAAAACTGATTCTGATTCTGATTCTGCTTTAAAAAAAAGCAGAAGCAGAATCAGTTCCAAACACCCTAGGTCCCTCATCTCCTATACGTAGTACTATGCATGGTACGTATAGTAGGGAGCATTAATAAAGCACTAATGGCTTCATCATTAATATACGAATGATTTTGTCGGTGGCACGATACATGCTTTGAAACGAAATTATATGAAGTATTTCAAAAGCATTCATATAAACTCTAGCTTGTGAAAATGATAAAGATTTTAATTTATACTCCATATATATATATATAGATATATATATATACTACCTCCATTCTTAAATAAATGCAACACTTTGACTTTTACATTATTCACATGTTCTACTTTGACTATGTTTTATTTATTAATGTAATAATATTATTTTATGAAAAAAATATTGTTAAACTTGTCTCATTGTAAATTTTCATAATCTAATTTTTTTTAATTTTTTTACTAATACAAAATGATTTATATTAATGGTCAAAGTTGTGTCTCGGCAAGTGTGAAATGTTGTCCGTTGCATTTATTTAAGAACGGAGGAAGTATATAGAATACCTGCATGAGCTTGTTCTCGTTTGAGAACAAAAACTTGTTGCTGTTGGCTCCGCAGAAGACGGCGGCCTTCTCGCCCATAAGGTGTGTCCGGAAGACGGCGGATGAGTACTTCTCCATTCTGTCGAAAATGAACTTCTCAGGGTGGCCCTTCCACCCCGTTGACAAAAACTCGAAGGTCTCGCCGATGAACGGCCATCCGCTCCTTCCCGGCGGCAGAGGGTCGCCGGACGAATCTTTCTTATTACCCAAAAGTAAGTATAGGGAGAGAAAGAGGAAGAGCACAAACATGCACACAAGAGTGACACAGTACATCACTTCCATGCTATGATTCTATGCTCAAAATGATTTTGGAACTATCCTGTGATCGACCGTGTCAAATCGTCATGGGTATATATATACACACTATGACTACAAATTCAAATTACAAAAGGAGTATATTGTGGGGGCAGTGAGGGCAAATGCCGCTTCAATTCCCATGTTCTTACTTGACTTTTTTCAATAACACATCGACTAGATCAGACTTAAGCAGATCAGTCCAGGCCAGAATTTCATAGTTATAAAATACACAGAGATTATATATTTATCAGATCAGACCAGTTCAGACAAATGAGACTTAAACAAACCAAACCAGACCTGACTTCTATAGTTATAAAATACATAGAGATCAGACATTTACCGAATCTGACCAGACTAGTTCAGAACAGATCATACCAGCAAATTTCAATCCAACTCAGATCAGACCAGACTTCCATAATATATGATTTTTGAATCATATATATAAGCTGTGAAGATCGTGGCAAGTAACACACGCATAAATATAGTGTGCATGTTTATACATGATGATTAATTAACTGCTAGCTATTTTCCACGATCATTTATTTGCTTGAAAAAAAAACGTAACGAAGACTATGCAAAACAGAATTTAATGTTGTGCTTTGCTCGAGTCAACATATATATACACACTTCAAATGAGACTTTAAGATGCCTTTATTACATAGTTTGAAACTTTGAATTAGATTTGTACAAAATTGACAGGATTTGTTCGCGCGGCCCTGCGACAACAGTTCCGTGCCAGTGTTTTCATGTGGTACGAGAGTTATAAATATAAAACTACTAATCAAGAGCATCCGAAATGCAAGTTTTTCTACTCTAAATAAATTAGGAAAAATTGACAAGAATAATCTCACCTTTCACTGGTATTCTTATAATAATCTCACCTTTACATAATTTCAGAATAATCTCACATTTGCATCTCATCTTCTTTCGTTGGACTCTGACCTGTTGATTACCTACTATACCAGGTTTTCACCCTTTTTTCTCTCCCTAAAATATTCCTTTTCTATCCTTTTGTTCTTATTTCTTTTCCATTTTTATTATTCTATTCCTTACTCTATTAGGAGATATTTTTGGTACAATTTCTCTTCAAAATAGTTCTTTTTTGTCATTTTCTTTTTCTTTTATTTCATTTACCTTTTTATGTTTTTCTTCTTAATCATTTTCTCTTCTTATTAACGATCTTTTTCTCATTTTACTTTTTGTTATGTTTTCCTTTTATTTTCACTTTTTCACTTTTATATTTTCACTTTTAAAATAAGATCTTAAATAAGAAGAGAATGATTAAGAAGAAAAACATAAAAAGGGAAATGAAATAAAAATATGGAAAGAAAAAGAAAATGACAAAAAGGAGCTATTTTGAAGAGATTTTTTTCAAAAAAAATCTCTCCTAATAGAGTGAGAAATAGAATAATAAAAATGGAAAAGAAATAAGAACATAATGATAGAAAAAGTAATAAAATTGTCTAGGGATGAAAATAAAGAAAGAAAAAATTTTAGGGAGAAAAAAGAAAAAAATGAAACATGGGACCATTTTGAACATTTGTGATGAAATGTGTGATTATTTATATAAGATTTTCAAAGAAAGGGTAAAAATCCTAGTATAATAAGTTATCAACAGGTCAGGGTCCAACGAAAAAAGATGGGGTGAAAAGGTGAGATTATTATGAGATTACGTAAAAGTGAAATTATTATGAGAAGACCAATGAAAGGTGAGATTATTCTTGCCAATTTTTCCAATAAATTATACCAAATGTTCAATTATTAAAAGGCTTTCCTATCCACTTGATAAATAGTGAAGGGAGTAGACTTTAACATATTACGGAAGCCTCCAATGCATTAAGTTCAAAGGCCAAATTACGTATCCATGTGGGATTTATTTTATAAATTAATAAATTATTTTAGATCATTCTCTACGATTTGAATGGCCACTGCTTAGATATAATAGTATATAATAATAATAATAATAATAATAATAATAATAATAATAATAATAATAATAATAATAATAATAATAGTAATAATAATAATAATAATAATAATAATAATAGTAATAATAATAATAGTAATAATAATAGTAATAATAATAACAATAATAATTATTGAAGATTACAAAGTTATGGTTAATCCATGGTAAAAAAACGTAAATACAAAAAATCAATACCGTAATTAAGAACATTGATATTCTGATTTGATGAATTGGAGAATTTAAAAATTGATAAATTGGAGAATTTGTGAAATTGTAGGTATCTGACAAATATGGGTGTGCAACTCTTCTATCGTTTCAATTCCCTCCACGGCTCCACTATGTCAAAACTGCTTTTCCGTTTCCTTCCGCTATATTCTCAAGAGAGGCGGTGATTTTTGGAGGGGGTGGGGGGCTTTTTGATTTTTGGCATAGAAGAGATCAAATAAAAACTTCCTCTAACCTCTACATTATGTGGGGTGGGGAGGTTTTAGGAGATCCAGGACATGTGATGCATTATTTTCTTGGGTGTTAATTTATATTTACATTTCATCCAAAAAAAAAATCAAGAGAGGCGGTGATTTTTGTCGGAGTCAGCAAGTTTACACCCCTTTTTACATACGGACATCCTTCATGACAGTGTTCAATTTTTTGGTTGCCATGTCACCCCACACTACAAGCCTTGGAGGAGCTAGATACTACAGTACGTAATATAGTCCAAAGTCTAATTTAATGAGGTGACACGCTTTTACAAGACTAGACTAGACTAAAATGTATTTGGGATGTTCTAATAGAAAATTTCTTACATTCTTTCGGCAAAATATACAGTACATGCAACCGGTTGTACCGTGCATACACTACAACTGGATATTTTATGTTAAAAAAATGAGTATAATGTTTAAACAAATCAAACACGTTGAGTTAGAAACAAACCTACCATTGTTTGAAAATCCACATCCACATAGAATTGAGGTTTCTTCAAGCAACAATAATTATGGACACAAAAATGCTACAATAATGGAAACGTGTTACCGTGATGTAAAATGTAAATAAGTGAAGGAAAATAAGCAGCTTTGCCTCAACAAAAGGTGCCGCAAGACAGGCCTAGGCGCCAAGCGTATTGAAAACGTCCCACACACCTATTAGGCGTGCTAAAAGGCAGCCCAATTCAAATTTAATTCCAAAATTCAACTACAGACTACACTTAGTGCATGTTTGGCACACATAAGTCACTGTCTTCTAGCTTTTGTATTGTTTAAAAAATCTCTAAAAGCTTTTAGTTGTGTGTTTGGCATGACAAATTTTAAGAGCTTCTCGAAAAATAAAAAATCTTTTTTGAGATGCTACGGGGAGTAGCATCTGAGAAAAGACCGTGACTGTTAGTATTAATTTGTCCTAACAGCTTGTATACCAAACATGACTAAATCAAACAACCGACTTTTTACCAAACAGCTATCACATTTTCTTTTTAAGATCTTTTCAGCCACTAAAAGCTAACAGTTACTAAAAAGCCCACAAAAGTATCTTTTCAGCTAGTCGTGCCAAACATACCCTTAGGCCATGCGAGAGAGGTAAAGGCCTGTTTCATTAAGTTCACACAAGATGAAATCTCAATCTTAAGTAGCCTTGTGAGACTCAATCAAGAGGGGTAGTATATAGTCAACGGGGAAGGGTGAAGTGTTGAAATCCTCCGGTGTAGGAATTAAAGACAAGTTTTATAATTTATGTAGTACCTACAAGGGATCGGAATACTCCGTAGTAGGGGTGGGCAATTCAGTTTACAGTTCGGTTTCAGTTCGGTTTCAGTTTATTCGGTTTGAGAGAATTTGTATCAAACTAAAACTATTTGAATTTCGTTTTGTTTTCTGTTTTTGTTTCGGTTCGATTTGAAGTTCGGTTTACCAAAGTGAAAAAATCATTAGATACAATTCAGTTCGATTTGATTCGGTTTCTTATGTTTATTACTCCGTATTTTATTTGATCAAGTTTTATATTTTAGGATGAAAACATAAAAGTAGTACTCATATTCTTTTATTTACTATTTAAATAAAATGTAAAAAAAAAGATAGAAAAATAATAATAAAATTTTATAAATTAAAACTTCTAACATCTTTTCTATCACTAGAAGAAAGATCCACTTCTCACAAAAAATAAATTTATAGTTGATTAGAATTTATAATATCACATAAAATATTCAAAAAAAAACTAAATGAGTCAGTGGTACAAATGTTGTAATATTCACAATTTTATTCAAATGAATCATGTAAAAAAATATTAACGCAATTTGTTGTTGTTATCGTCAAATATCTTTACATACAGGTAGAGTACGAAACATAACAAATACAAATATCGTATTAGCTAATTTTGTCAAAATGAATGTATGAAATATGTAAAGGTTAAAATGATACTAGTATATCCTAAATTTGTATTTTTCATGTCTAGTTATTTATATCTTAAAGATGAAGAGTGAAGAAAATACAAAGTGTGTGTGTGTGTGTGTATATATATATATATATATATATATATATAGGGTGCGGTTCCAATGAGAACATTGCTTAACGTGAGAACACTCACATTTAACCGAATGTGATACGCAATAGATCCCGTATGGTTCACATTTTAACTTTGGTCAAACCAAGCCTACATAAATAGTTGCGGTGGCATTTTGGTAAACATTATGTTTACCATGAAAATGTGCAACGGACGAGCCTCATATTGGTGTTCTCACGTTCTCACGTTAAGCCTTGTTCTCATTTGATCTTTAATATATATATATATATATATATATATATATATATATAGATTTGTGTTCAAATGAGAATAGTATCTCAGGAAAGAAATAAGAATGAAGGTGAGCCGTCCGATCTTGTACTGAATCTCACGTGCAACTACTCATTCTAGAGGTTATTCATGTCATTTTATTTTTTTAGCCAACGCACGTACGAATGCTTTCTTTATTTACGCATGTTCGTTCTTTCCATATCCGTTTCTCAAAATTTCCTTCCTTATTGATCATCGTTTAATTTTTGCATATTTTCTCTTTCCTTTCTCTACCGGTTTCATTCCTGCTTCTTCTCCATCGTCCCTGCCATGGAAACCGGTTAGCATTGCTCCTCTGTTCTTTGTTATGTTGTCATTTTTTTTAAGTTTTTTATGTGCTCTTCGATTCTTTCAATTTTTTGATGTGATAGTTTTATATAATTGTGAATGTATTTGGTGAATATTTTTTAAACAATTCTCTATTCCCTGTTTTTTTATATTTTTATTTCTGGAATGTATGTGAAATTCTGTAAAGTTAGAAATTGCCTAGTTCCACTCCATTTTGCCCGAGGAATCAAAGTATTATTGTACATAATGCATATGCTTAGTTAATATATGATGTATTATGATGCTGCTAAATGCTTTCCCATGATGCACTTTGACTGTGACATGTGTTTGGATTTATATAAATTTCTTTTTTTAATAAGAATGTAGTTTAAAAGTTGATTCAATACACTCCAATCCGCATCATGATGCTGAAAAATGTTTAGGTAATGCACTCCATTAATTGGTTAATGCACTCCATTAAATTAATGGTTTTTTACTGCACTCTCTTATGTTAAGATGCAAATTATTGTGTTATGCAATGCTCTTCTATTCTGATGAATGATTATGTGTACAAATGTTTTGCTTTTTCATTCAGATTCAAATGATGTTGGTTTCAGTTCTTCTTCTGCAATTTCCCAGCCCGTTGATGTTCAAACAATGCACCTTTTACCTGGATCCACTATGTATTGGACACCCGAGTGTGATCCCGCTGTAAAACTGTGTGTTGGTACGTTGTTCAACAACCTGCTTGAAGCTAAGGTTTTTTATGATGATTATGCAGCAGTGTGTGGTTTTGAAACATGTATTTTTAGTTCATCAAAGGCTCCTCCCTGATGGTGCTATTGTTTGGAGATATTTGGTATTTAATAGGGAGGAATTCAAAAATGTATCTAAATCCCGCAAGGATTCATCTAACAACGATAGTTGCAAAACCACACATAACAATGATGGTTACATTAATGAAGATGCAGATAATGAGTCAACTCATGAAAATGAGTTATCAGAATCCAAAGGAGGTGAAATTGATGGGCAACCTTCTGGTCAAGATTTACAAACTCCAGCCCTCTGTACTAATGATGAGAAAAAGAGACGCCGAGTTTCCAATAGGATTGGATGTAAAGCACGTTTAGTGCTTAGGCTTGCTGGCACCTGTTATCATTATTCCTTTCTATTCATTAGTTATCGTTACTATGACATCAGAGTTGTATGACAATTTTTATTGCTATTAATTCCATTATTTAATTTACAAATTTACTTATGTATTTGGTCCACATGTGTACTCTCACTCTTGTGCATGTCAATGTTCGTCATGTATCCTGTAATATGCAGTCCAGTTGTGGTATTGTGCAATGGGTGTGAAGTGGGTCACTTCGTTTAATGCTAGTTATGCACTGCTAATTATCCCCCTGATGTACATTTACCCTCTCCCTAATGCACTCCACATCTCATGATAATTCAAGTCACTTATGCACTGCTAATTATCCCCTAAAGCACTTTTATTATGCCCATAATGAACTCCAGGTGTCACCATAATTCATTTTCTGGTCTGTAATGTATTTGGTTTCATGTAAATTATGAATGTCTTATCATTGTAATATCTACTTGCACGGTGAACTAAATTAAATATAAATTCCGTTGTTGATGGACTTCAATTTTTGTTTATTAATGGACTTCGTATATTAAGCAAAAAAAATGGACTTTGTATAGTTTTATTAATGCACTGCTAATGGTTTCATTTCACACTTTTTGCTTTTTACTTATGCACTCAACGTTATCATACAAATGTATTTGAAATATTTGCACATGTTGATCATGTAATGCAGGCACTATCAGTACCTGTTGCACTTATGATTGTATACTACAATATTCATGTACTCCAATTGTTGATGGACTTCAAATTTTGTTTTTTAATGCACCTTGTTTCATTTTATTAATACACTTCTAATCAGTCAATTTCGCACTTTACTCCTTTTAATAATGCACTCAACTTTTTGACAAATATTTTTGAATGATTCATATCTGCTTGAAAATACCTTTTTGCATATGCACATTTTTAACATAACAACATATAATTGCACCAACATATAATTGCACGCCGAAATAAATTTTACCAAAATTTTGCATTAATAAATGCAGCAACACAAATATGATAAACTTGGAAACCGCTAGATGTTCAAAGATGTAATAAAACCACCAACAATCATAACCAGTAATCAAAATATAAGTATTAAAATATTTTAAAACTGATCACATATGCTCTTCCCCCATAGCTTGTGACAGTCTTATCTTAAATGCCCTTTTTATTTCACACTTCTCCAACAAACGCATTTGCTTTGGTTAAATTTTCTTCTTTTAGCTCATTCACTTCTGCCCTGCTATTGCTGCCCAGTACTTCATCCTTAATGCTGCCATAGTCTTTCTAGCTCATTCACTTTGACTCCACACTTTCTCTTGAGGTCTCCGCTTCTTTTCGTTTCAGCTTGTCTTTGACTTCAATCTTGTCCATCTCAGGAACAAATCTTGCACTCCTTCTCGCTGGCATGTTACCGCTTCCATCCTGCCTTACACCCTTCCTCTACTTGAAGTGCACCCTTCAGTCTCTGGTCCTGCGTCCAACAATCAACAAACAAAAATGGTGAAATCCTACTACACAATACTCATTAAATCCTACAAATTATGCAATTATGATGCACCCATAATCAATTCATACTACACAATACTAATTAAAAACTACACAATTAACATGTAGAATATTTATGCACACAGATCATGCACACATACTGCATAACACCTAAAAAATTCAAACCGTAATAAAATGGTGAAATCTTACTATTTGAAGCACAATACTTATGCACACATACTAAATTTATACACATGTCAAAGGCTCCATACGTGCACACGTACTAAATTTATAATGCACAAGCCTTATGCATGTCAAACCCAACATCAACATGTGAATTCATACAAATCTTATGCACACATACTAAATTTATAGTGCACAAAACCAATACACATGTCAAACCCTCCATACGTGCACTTTTTAATCATCGGTATTGCAACTCAAATTTCAAACTTGAAACTTCTAACCTCAAACTGAAACAATTCTCAAATCATAAACTACATATTCATAATGCACAACACCTCAATACTTCAAAAATTAAAAAAAAATGCTTAAATTCTACTATTTGATGCATACACTTCCCATTCATACTCCACAACACAAAATACTTCAAAACTTAAGCAAAAAATCGTCAAAACCTACTATTTGATTGCACTCATAATAAATTTATATTCTAACCTCATGCACTCTTATTAAATGTATATTGCACATGACTCCAACATGTGGAACCCTCCCTCGGTGCACTTTAACTTCTCTGTATTGCACCTCAATTTTTAAAAACCAGATTTCATCCAAGAGCATATTTCCCCATCTTCGGTTTTCTTTATGTGCTTAAACAACCATTGTACTGAGCACCGACCACTATGGCATTGTGCATTTACCAATCACTAATTTTAAAATTCTAACTTCTTGAAGCAGATTATTTCATTCACAAACATCTACCCAAAAAATCCCTCAAACGTTGCACTATTTCAGTATACTTCATACGCTTCAAAACCATTTCAAAATCAAGAAATAAATTCGAATTAGATACTTAAAAGAAACCTAATCGTACCTGTTGCTGCACTCTTCAAGGTAGGATTGGATGTTTCTTCGGTCGCCATCTTCAATTCTCAAACTTGCTCTCTCTTCTCTCGGCTTCTTAGGTTTTGCACGATTATTCTTGGTGTATTGTAGACTGCCGTTTAAGTTCATCGACATATGGAAAGACATTCACCCGATGCTCTGTTTTTTTGGTAAGCGGGAGTTTCAATGGTAAGTCACGTATATGGAAAGTGGTGCAAAGATTATTACGCGATATGCATCCCAACGGTTGTATGTTATTTTACATTCATGCCCTCGTTAATTAATGATGCTGCACTCTTGCCTTTTAAAACCGTCCGCCCCATTTAATTTTTAATTAGGAATGGTTAATTATGCACCATCGGATGCTAATAACCTAGGGCTGTATTTCTTTCTCATTTCTCTCCTAGTGATTCATTCTCATAGGATCTTAACCCTATATATATATATATATATATATATATATATATATATATATATATATATATATATATATATATATATATATATATATATATATATATATATATATATATATATATATATATATATATATAGGGTAAGGTTCAAGTGAGAAGAACCCTTTGGGTGAGAAATGAGAATGAATCTCAGCCATTGGATTCGACTAAGTTGTAGTAAAATACACTTCATGATGCACTGAAATATGCAATCTAGCACGGTGGCATTTCTGTAAATACTTCTGAAAATTCCGTATTACACGTGTCTAGTGCAAAATTTAAATATATATATATATATATATATATATATATATATAGATTTTGGTTCAGGTGAGAAATGCATCTAATGTGAAAAATGAGAATGAATCTTAGCCATTGGATTTACGAAGTTGCACTAACATTAGCTTTATGTTGCAGTAATATTTAAATTTTGCACATGTTGCACTAAAACTGTTTCATGTTGCACTAATATTTGACGACGTTGTACCGAAATAGCTTCATGTTGCACTAGACACGTGTAATACGGATTTTTCAGAAGTATTTACAGAAATGCCACCGTGCTAGATTGCATATTTCAGTGCATCATGAAGTGTATTTTACTCCGGCCGAGCCCGTTTGGGCACCTTCCCGGTGGAATTTTTTGATGAATTTTTTTGAGCATGTTCCTCATCAAGTCTAGTTTGTCCATACCAAATTTCAGCTCAAAATTCGATCGGGAAGGCATTCAAATCATTTTTTGAAGTTGACTGTGTCAAAATATACATATAAAACTTTGTACAAAGATCCTAGGCAAAATGAGAGAAATGAGAGAAATTATTTTTATAGGGATGTGGTGATACAATGATGAAGAGGAACATGGAAAGCATAGAAGACAAGTAAACCCAATATCATGAAGTGTGTAGTGCATAAGTGGAATCATTTCACTTTGTAAAACACATTTTAAACATTACTTGGTTGTCTTTTGCTTGTTCATGATTGTTTAAAGTGTTGATGAAACATTGACTTTACTCGAGGACGAGTAAAGAAACTAAGCATGAGGGAGTTGATAGAGTTGTATTTTTATCATGTATTATTTCTATTTTAACTAGTTTTATTTGTTGTTGTTTGGAAAATTGCACACTTTTGGTGTAATTAGTTAATTTTCTTAGATAGATGTAATTTGTTTAGATTAGGATTATTCTGAGCTTAAAACAGGTCAAGATCATCCAAAGGATCAAGTTTGGACCCCAAAAGATCAAGGAAAGTGCAAGGGGACAAGATCAAAAGAAGATTGAAAAAATATTTCATATACCCGGTCGGGTATAGGCAATACCCGATCGGGTATTGAGTTGATTCGGGTGTCAAAATCAGAATCTGGAGAGACAAAAGAACGTGCAGGATTTTGACTTTTTGGCTCATACCCGACCGGGTATGCCTACATACCCGACTGAGTATGTCTAGAAAAGTGATTTTCTGGAAAACTGCCTAAAATACCCGATTGGGTACCCTATATACCCGATCAGGTACACAACCCTGCCACCTCCAAACACCTATAAATACACCCCTTTTCCTTCACAATAAAGGCACTCCTTCTTCCATACTCTTAAGCTCAGTTTAGAATAGTATTTCTTTTATATTTTTATAGCATGTTTAGTTTCCAAATGAGGAGCTAAACTTCCATTTCTTGGTGTTGCTCTTGAAACTTGTTGATTATTGAAGTTGTGAGTTATTTTCTTAACTTCTTTCCTTGAATATTAATTCTTCCTTTAAATACTATTTCTATATCAATGTTGGGGAGTGTTACTAAGATGACAATTAGTTAACATCTTGACATTGGTCTTAGTAATAGCTATTCCTTCCTCTATGTTAATATTGGGGAGTGTTACTAAGATGACAATTAGTTAACATCTTGATATTAACTATAGTAGGATTCATTTTCTTTAATATTCTTCCTTGAGTATTAATTAATTGTTATTCATATTTCATATTAATATTTTCAACATTACTTAAAGGATCAACTAGTTTTGTTTCATATATTAATTATTACTAGAAACGATCAACGAACCGATGGTTAATCGTTGATAGTTTCACAAGTAAGTAACTTCGGTTTATTAATGCACGGTCGTGGTTAATAAACTTAAGAGGGATTAATTTTGTTGGTTAAACCGAAACCGTTGTGTTGAGATTATCAATCTCAATTGATTTCAGCAAGGAGTTAAGAGATTAAATGCTACTATCAAGTCGGTATATGGCGGTGTTCTATACTTGACTAATAGTAAGGGTTATTAATGAACGGTCGTTGCTAATAACTACCCTCGATGAATTGGATATACTCCTCGATTGAGTATTCGACAGGGGATAAGTTATAGATATAACAATGATAGACTAAAATATATCAACAAGTGGAAAGTAGCAATGCCAAGTCCTTTTTATCTTTGAATTAAATCTCATATAAGTCCTTCATCTTAGTATTTAATTAATTAAATTCCAACAATACCAAAACCCCCCTTTTATTTACTAGTTCATAAAAAGAGAATTATTCCTTTCCCTGTGGATACGAACTCTACTTCACTATACTACGTATAGGTGTTAGTATTGCATTTATTTTGACGCACCGTGACAAAGTGCACATCAACTGCCCCATGAATAAATCGGCTTAAAATTTGATACTTACCCATGGTTGCTTTATGATTTATTTCTACAACTCGATGCTCATACATGACTTGCTTTGATTGTCTTTGTTTAATTTTCTTTGTTATTGTTAGTCATTATATTTCATGATTACAATGTTATATATGGTTGTTTCCAGTCATTAAATTTGCACTTTTTTGTGTTATTCATCCTTATTAGTGCAAATTGATTTACCTGTAATCAACCCTTATGTTTGGTCACATAATTATCATTGTGAGCACAATGATATGGTAATTTATTGCACGCTTTAATATTGAAGAACAATCATCACCGACACACAAGTAATTAGTCATACAATTTGCACACTTTTTTTGCACGTATAAATTCTAATAATGCACAATTTTGTCTCGTTTGTGTTGAGGTCATCAGTCTCAATCGTTTTCATCTTAAGTTTATTGCTACTATTGGGTTAGTATACGGCGCGTGTTCTATATTGACTCGGTAGTAAGTTTTATTAATGAACGCGTCTCGTAATTAATAACTACCCTCGATGAAATGGAGATATTACTCAATTGATCGAGTATTCGAGAGGAAAATAGTTAAAGATATAACCGGGATCGACGAACATTTCATTAAGTGGATATAAGCAAAACCAAGTCTTCATCTCTAATTAATTAAACCACATAAGTCGTTCAACTTAGTGTTTAAATATACTTCAAGTTCAACAACTTAAAAAACCCCTTTGTTACTAGTTCTATAAAAGAGAAGTACTACGTATTCATTTCCCTGCGGATACGAACCTTACTTCGTTATACTACGTATAATCGTTGTATTGAATATTATTTTGAGGCACACCACGAAAAAGTGCTTGTCAGTGATCTTGCATGGGTCGCTCATAGGTGGGCCACGCGACATATGTGGCCGGTACATATATGGATGTGATGGGCGTTGTCCAAAATATAATTTTGGTAAGCCGGCCATGTTCATCGCCATCACGTCCAAGTCCAACCCTTATTGCCCTGAAATTAAAGAACAACTATCCTTTGTGGATGAAGTTCAAAATCGGCCAGAACTTGTTGGGGGCGTATTCCGTGCCCGTTTGGAAGACTTAAAAAAGGATATCATAAAGAAATCTTTGTTTGGAAGGGTGTGGTTGAATACACATATGCAATCGAGTTTCAACAACACGCGCAATGTGCCTTTCCCACGCGCACTGCCTTCTCATCTTGGCAAAGGATTGTAAAATTTCTACTCTCGCGCAATGTGATTGGCTCATTACTGTTGAGCTCCATGCATCGTCATGTTAAGAAGCATATGATACATGGCCCTTGCGGGTGTATCCTTTCAAGTGAGATGTTTGGTTGAATTTCTCATTTAGGATTCCATTGTTGTTTTAAAGGTGTATGAGAGGTTTCAACACAGGTGAATGATGGACAAATTTACAAGATGTAAAGATTTTCTTCCTAAATAGCGGTTCAAGATTTTTGGCTAAAATACATCTTAAGAGGATATTTCAAGCAAACAATTTATTTATACATATAAAACGCGGTTATATATTTTCAAAAAAATATTTAACCGACTCTCCAATTGATTTTTTAGCTAAAATTTTGCGGACATAATCTACATTTCACTGAGAACATGCTCACAACATTTAATCTAAATATTCAACTGGAAATCACCTCAAAACGAGGTGGCCGGACAGCGATCATGTCCGAAAATTCTGGACGAGAATATTTGTGTATGTGTGTACTCAAACTAAAGCAAAAAATCCATCCAATACTATGAACATCTACACTCAGACAGACTCATGCCAAGGATCAATATCTCGGCCACACATGGAAACAAACAAAAACACATAACACGGAGAGAGGATATACCTTACAGTATCAACTGTTTAAATTGTGATGCGGCCACCAATCCAAAAGGCAGCAGGGGCGATCCTCAGAGACGGGATTGGACATCTACTCATGGTCTTCTCCTTCTCAACAAAGTAACACTTAATCCTCTTCACAATAGAAAAGGGTTACAACAACTTCCAAGTTCAAACCGATTCTGAAACAACGGTGATAGAGATATGGACTCGGACCTCTGGGTCTCACGACTATTGGGCCCGGACAGCAACCCACACACGCTTAGCAGACTTCCCTTTACATTGTAGATTTGTATTGTTATACATTTTATTATACATTGTATCTACTAGACTAGCCTTTTTACATAGTTGGGCTTATCGGGCCCATATTAGCAACTTGGCCCACTCTATATATATATATACTCCCCTTGGGAGACTTTTAACCCTAATTCCATATTCATTAATAATACATTATTCATCTTTTTCTCCAATTCTCTAGCTCAACTCTCCATTTATTATAGTTTGGATACCCCTATAATCCATCAAGTGGTTATCATGATACACGAAAACATAAATGTACCTCATCTCCTCATACCGGCAGTTGGATAACTCAGGCTCAGAAGAATCTCAAACCACATATCCTTTTGATACAGTCATACAGACCCCGAGAAGCAAACCAAGTAGCGCACCACCACGCACATGCGGATATCCATTCCACAAAACTACAGATGTACTCGATCATGACCCCCCCCCCCCCCCCCCCCCCCCGTACGCTAAAGCGGCTTACAAAAACGACTTCAAAGGAATGATATACTTCAGGGACGCAGGGTGAAACCCTCCGATCCATCTCCTGGCCTCCCCTGCTCTCTCGATTCACAGTGGCCGCAAATGAAGAAGAAGAAATGACCTTTCTCTCACATAAACGAAACTTCTTGCGAGTATGGTTTTCTGTAGTTCACCTCTAGACTTATTATGTTTGAATTAGCAGGCCTGCAGCTCTTGGACATACACAATTTTTATTCCTTGTAATTTCCTTTTTCTTTCACCCTTATACTTTGGGGTACATAAATTTCTTGTATTGTAATCTTATTACCGATTTTAATAATATCAGGTAAATGTCCTCCGACATTCACCCCACTCGTCTTGGTGAACCTTCGGGTTAAAAAGTGTGTGTGTGTGTGTTTGTATTAATATAGAGGTGCGCACACACACACACATATGAAAGAACAAAGCTAAACAAGTCAGGGGTTTTCCTAAAATATTACTAAAATAAAACTTATTTATACAAATATGACAAATAGTTATTACAATGTAGTGTCATGGTAACTTAAGTTTAAAAATTGGACATATTTAACTTCTTATGATTTCATTTCTACTCTAGTCATTAGTCACATTTTTTGTAAATAAACTTTATTTTAGTCATATATGTAATTATTTCTAGGGGTGGGCGCGGTCCGGAACGGTCCGGTAAATTGGTAAAACCCGTAATGTATCCGTAAGGTTTTTAACGGTTCGGTACGGTCTGGTTCTAAGGATGGAACCGTTCGGTACCATGTCGTTTCGGAATGGTACAAAACGGTACAGTATAATGCCAAACACATACTAAAAAATTTGAACAAATTTTGCAATTAGTAGATATCATCACATTAAGGCTAAAGGGTCAAATAGGTACATGAACTAACTTAAAGTGTTCAACTAGCCCCTTATATAGGAGGTTCTGCCCGGCCGTCGTCAATTGGGGCGGTTCCCGGTGGAATTTTTTGATGAAATATTTTGAACATCTTCTTCATTAAGTCTAGTTTACCCATACCAAATTTTAGCTAAAAATTCAATCGGGAAGGCAGTCAAATGATTTTTTGAAGATAACTGCGCAGTTAAACAACGCAATTCATTTCGGAAAATCATTTGACTACCTTTCCAGTTGAATTTTTAGCTGAAATTTGGTATGGGTAAACTAGACTTAATGAAGAAGATGCTAAAAAAATGTCATTAAAAAATTCAACCGAGAACCTCCCCAATTGGCGATGGCTGGACTGAACCTCCTATATAAGGGGCTAATTGAACACTTTAAGTTAGTTCATGTACCTATTTGACCCTTTAGCCTCACATTAATTAACTCACATGAAATGTTTATATAATACAAGAAATTGCATACGTAGTACTAAAATTCACAAATTCACAAATAGTGCAACGCAGCTAAGAAAAAGTATAGCACAACGATGTCGCACGAGATAAATATCATCTCTAATTTACTAAGTTCATGTGAAAGTATAAAAAAGAATATCATCAAATTGTTGAATATTATAGAAATCTTCAACGTTCTTTTTCTTCATTCTAGGTTAAATATTACTCCGTAGTTCTAATTTAATTTATAGTTGAACCTTGAGAGCTAAGATTTAAACCATATTAATTAAGTTGTAAAATTGCACAAACATGATACAACAAAAAATCTCGTACACTACATTACTAGAAATGAATAGTCATTAATGATTTCTAAAATTTTAATATTCTTTCAATACATACCAAAATATAACATAAATTATCTAAAAAGAAAAAATAACAATATATAAACATATTTAGGTATTTTAGGGATGCATGAATACATACTTGGGCTCTAAAATTGTTGGTCTATAAAAGAGATCCATGGGTATAGAAAAAAATATAAAAAAATCCATATGCATTATTTTCGAACGGTTCGGTCCGGTATTTTTCGCTTCTCAAAATCTAGGACCGGTCCCGTACCCGTTTCAAACGGTACGGTTTCGGTACGGGACAAAAATTTATAGAACCGTTTAAATACCCTGTATGCAAATATATACAGTAGTTTTTTCTGTATTTATATTTAAGTATTAAGTTATTAGTCTTTGTTACTCATTAATAAATTAAACCAATGCATTAGAACCCTACCCTTCTAATTGCCGTCCGGCGTTGTAAGGGAGCAGTGTAGCGATGGATCGAGAGTGGGGTTCGAAGCCGGGGAGTGGAGGAGCCGCTTCCGCACAGAATGAGGCGATTGATCGTCGCGAACGGCTGCGGAGGTTAGCCCTCGAGACTATTGACCTCGCCAAAGATCCGTATTTTATGCGTAACCACCTCGGGAGCTATGAGTGTAAGCTCTGCTTGACTCTGCACAACAATGAGGGCAACTACTTGGCTCATACTCAAGGGAAGCGCCACCAGACAAATTTGGCTAAGAAAGCTGCTCGTGAAGCCAAAGAGGCGCCTGCTCAGCCGCAACCTCATAAACGCAAAGTTTCGCTCAAAAAGACAGTGAAAATTGGGAGGCCTGGCTATCGAGTGACAAAGCAGTTTGATCCAGAGACAAAGCAGAGATCTCTTCTTTTTCAGATTGAATATCCTGAGATCGAAGACAATACAAAGCCAAGGCATCGATTTATGTCCTCCTTTGAGCAGAAAATCCAGCCATATGATAAAAGATATCAGTTTCTATTGTTTGCTGCAGAACCATATGAGATTATTGCTTTTAAGGTTCCTAGCATTGAGATTGACAAATCAACTCCAAAATTCTTCTCACATTGGGATCCAGACACAAAGATGTTCACTTTGCAATTACACTTCAAGACAAAGCCCCCAGAAGCTAATAAACCCCAATCAGCTCCGATTGCCAATGGGACTGAAACTCCTGCACCACCAACTCAGGCCCCACCTCTGCCACCGTTGCCACCACAAGGACACCCACCTGGAGCTCCACCACCCCGCGGCCCCCCTTCCTTGTCTGGATCAGTCCCACCTCCACCTCCACCCATGACTAATGGACCTAGATTCATGCCTCCAGGTATCAATATGCCTGCTCCTCCCCCCTCTCCTGCCGGTGGTGGCCATTTGCCGAATTTCATTCCAAGTACAATGATGGGGAGGCCCCCAATTATGATGCATCATCCACAAGGTCAACCAAGTCAAGGAATGCACCCACCACCCCCTCCGCCGAACATGGGTTGATGATGAGCTCAAGTTTATCGTTGATAAACAGTTATGGAGTGCTCTATTTAGCTATACGATACCGGAGTGCCTCGATGTAACTAACACTTGTTTCTCCCTTTTAATTTAACATGTGCTTTCTAAATCCATTGATAAAAAAAAAAAAAAAAAAAAAAAAAATTAAACCAAACCTTCCATCCTTTGCGAATGCGGAAGCCATTGAAGGTGAAATCGGTTAAGGCTTCACGGAAAGAACCCTGGAGGGGCGGGGCAAGCCTCAAAACTTCGCATGCCACATTCCACGAGTATTTCATATTCTGAATGTCTTCCCAATCCAACAATTCTCCTCCTCCCTTCGACTTAGCAATCTCCATTTGCTCTGCATTAAATGATAGCATTGTGTATTAGGATGTTTTAACATGAACTTATTTGACTTCCAAACCAGATCAAATCAGATCAGATTAGACCAGACTTCAACATTGTAAAAAACACACCAGACATTTACCAGACCATAACAATTCAGACTTGACCAGACCGGAAAATTTTAGTCCAAGTAAAAACATATTTACTCTCTCCGTCCCTTCTATTTAGCTAAATTTGACTTTTTGAGTCAAAGATGTTAATTTTATATGTTTATTATTTATACGTGGTAATACTGATAATATGAAAATGTTCTTTGTTATAAATATTATCATAAAAGCACAGGTTATAAATTTATTAAGTTTCACACACACACACACATATATATATTAGTTAAAATAATGGATCAAAGTTTATCATATTTGATCGAAAAAGACTAAGATGTCTAAATAAAATATATATATAGAGAACGTTGCGAAATAATGGCACATATATTACGACTTCTCAATTTCAAATATATGACTTTTTACATTATTTTCCCCAAAACCGACTTTTTTACATTTATGATTGACAACTAAGGCTATGTTTGGACTGACAAGCTGAAAAGACCTTTCTTTAACCTTTTTAGTAACTGTTAGCTTTTTGGAGCTAAAAATCTTGCAGATGGAAAAGACCGTAGCTGTTTCATGAAAGCTATCTGTTTTAAATAGCCATGTTTGGCAAAACTAACTGTTGTAAGTAGCTGAAATTATAAAATTACAATTAAGGGTATGATCAAATATTATTAATTAAAGAGAAAATAGCATACATGCATATAGCTAATTTCAATTCAAAGAAAATACGAAAGAGAACAAGGACTCCAACATGGGCATAGACCAATTCACATGACCGACCTCTTTAACAGAACAAAAAAATCGGAAAACCCCAACTAAAATATCAAATAAAGCAAAGGGAAAACACATTCAATATCAAAACAGAATTTTCACACAATGTCATGGCAATGAAAAACACAAAAGAATCCCAACAAAAACAATCAAAGCAGACAAATAAACAGATTAATACATACAATCGTTTTTTTAGATTTATGTCAAGGGGTTTGTCCTCAAATAATATTAATTAAAAGCATTTGGACAAAAAAAGAGACTTTTCTTTTAAGTTCCAAAAATAAGACTAAATAATACTTAAGAGACTATTACACCCTTACTAAGCCCAAACCCACTGGCCTGCCACAGTAACCCGTCACAGTGACCAAATGTGCAGTGACCAATGACATAGTTACAAAATTCATCCAGTGACCAAAAATAATTAGTGACCAAACATCCAAAATTCCTCAGTGACCAAAAATCATTAGTGACCAAACACCCGAAATTCACCAGTGACCAAAAATTATTAGTGACTAAACATCCAAAATTCACCACTGACAAACAAAATTTAGTGACCAAACATCCAAAATTCACCAGTGACCAAAAATCATTAGTTACCAAAATTTTACCCGACCCATCAATTACAATGACCCAACCCGCCAGTTATAATTCCTCAATTTTATCAGTTACAGTTATCCGACATTGACCAATTACAATTGCCCGATCCAACCATTTACCGTAACTCGGTCCAATAATGACCAGTGGGCAGTGGCGGGCACCACCTCCGGCGACCACAACCATCTATCGCTGGCGACCACCACATCTGGCCTACTCCGGCGACAACCACCACCATGTACTACCTCTGACCATCACCTCCGGCCACCACCAATGCACTCAAACAAAGCTTCCAATTACTTACCCCCCACCCTCAGTAACATCCCTCCTTTCTAGCACGCCTCCCCTACCCAACCCCAGTCTGCCTCGCCAGTCCCAGCACCAGCACCAGTCCCAAGCCAGCCCATCAATGTCCCGCACAATGCACCACTAACAACCACATGGAGCCCTACCCGCCACGCCAAATCTGAAAAATGAAAATCGGAGAAGATGAAGAAGGTGTAGCCGAAGAAGACGGTTCAAAATCGGATAAGAGGATGAAGGTGTAGGCGAAGAAGACGATTAGAAATCTGATTTGAGGTTGCTCGTCGCTGTCTGTCGCACGGGACCCTCACTCGCCATAGCTCGCTTGCCGTTGGCCGTCGCACGTTGCAGATCCGCCGATGGCCGTCGCAGGTCCGCTGCTGGAGATGGTTGCGACGTTGGAGATCGATCTCCTCTAGAGGTACTCGCTGAGTTGCTGAAGAGTTCAATCAGTGTGTCAAGCTTTGCTCCATCGATGGAAGAAGAAAGGCGCTCCAGACAGATCTACGGGAAGAAAGCAGCACTTGAATAGGGTATTTTAGGCAATTGCACGTTATTCCAGTCACTTTTCTGTCCCGGACGAAAAATGGTATATTTTTGTCTAATTGGTACCTGGGAGTCTTAGTTTGGTCATTCTTTCTTATGTCAATGGTAGAATCAAGAAGTTTATTCGAGGTCAAAATTATAGTACAACATACTCAAATTTATAACAACGTAAACATACGAAATTATACTAAATTACGTAATTTAAAAATACTAATTTTTAAATTTATACCAAATTTTATACACAGTACTAATTTACATAATTTAACAACGTAAACATACTTTGGAAATTTATAGCCGCAGAACAGAGTATAACGTTAACTCGAATTTATCAAATTTATTAGTAAAATTCTTCTCTGATGCATAGTTCTAATTACTCGACAGGAATCTTAAACAGAGTATAAAGTTTACTCGAATTTATCAATTTTGAGTACAGATTAATGAATGAAATTTAAAAAAGAAAATCAACGAACACTTGGGGTTAAGAATAGAGATCGATGAAGAAAAGAATCCCTGCAAGTTTTTTTTGAAAAACAGTGAAAACCAAGACTAATGATAATGAAGAGGATGAAATACTTGGGGCACAGGGCTATGCGAAGAACGGCAAAATTTTTGAAAAGTTCTTTTCCGTTGAACGCTGCCTTCTGTAGCGTCTTACAAAAGACCTAAAAAGACCGAAACTTCTCCCAAAAGCTATTAGGCCAAACACACAACTAGAATTTTATAAGGTCTTTTTAAATAATAGAGAAGCTAGAAGCTACCAACTTTTGTGTGCCAAACATGCTCTAATACGATTACTTTTTTAAAAAAACTAATAAGATAGTACAATAAAAACTACAATCTCTCGCCTTTACGGCTCTGTTTGCAAGTGATTGTGTTTAAATAAAAGCACTTTTTGGGAAAAAGTGATTAGTAGTAAAAGTTGGTGGTGTTTGATAAAATAAGTGTTTTTTGTGTAATAGAAAAAGTAAAAAGTAGATTCTACACGAAAACCGAGAAAGTAAAAGTTGGTATTGTTTGGTAAAATAAGTGTTTTTTTCTTAAAAAAAAAGCCAAAAACACTTAAATTAATTGTTTTCAAACAAAGCCTACCTCCATCTTTCTCGCCACATTTGTTTCTGTTCGTTTAACATCATTTTCCTTCACTATTTTGTGCGGATAAACCGATGTGAAATTAGCTCTACATCATCACCTATTACCACTGTTTGGGCATAGTTGCTATTGGTGGACCATACACCCTATGGCTATATATCAGTGACTACACACTTTAAAGACCGAACATGAACATTAATTTATACTATCCTCCGTCTCTTTTTAATCGCAACATGTTGAATTTTACACTATTCATATGTTCTACTTTGACTACATTTTATATTATTATTTTATGAAAATTATTATTTAAAAAAAAATATTGTTCAATTCATCTCATTACAAATTTTCAAAATCTAATTTTTAAATATTTTTTACTAATAGAGATTACGATATAATTACGGCCAAAGACGTGCATTGACAAGTGTGAAATGTTGACCGTTGCAACTAAAAAAGAACGGATGAAGTATTTTAGTGACTTGTAGCGCTGTTTGTAATGTGTTTTTATACTCCTACCAACCACTTTCAAGTTTCAACCCATTGCTTATCAAGTCACTATGTGTAAAATTCCACATCGTGACTACACACTTTAAATGTACAAGTCATTCGAATTACCCAGTTTAGTGACTCACATTAGCTTTTTATTTACTTTACTTACTTATTATACCAACCACTAACGTAACTAACCTGAAATTAGTAAGTTACTATCAATGCAACTAACCATATGTCCATATATTACATGATCACTATGTATTTCAAAAAGTAGTCATTGGTCTGATACTCATTTGAGTGATTGCGGTCTTATTTAATTAGGTCACTTACCAATTCTATTTAGGTCACTTATTATGTACGGAGTATTTCAAAAAGCAGCCAATTACTTATTCTATTTAAATAACCAACTAAAAGGCGTGAATATATCCAATTAGTGTAAAATGATAAAAAACAATTCATTATAGGAAAAGTTCCCGAAATGGGACTAAAAAAGTTTGAAAATTCCAAAATAGGACTGTCATGTTTTTATTCCCAAAATAGGACTAATTACTGCCAAATTTGGAAAATACTGCCATGTTTGAAGTCTGGTACTGTCAAAACATGACAGTAATTAGTCCTATTTTGGGAATAAAAACATGGAAGTCCTATTTTGGAATTTCCAAACTTTTTTAGTCCCATTTTGGGTAATATCTCTTCATTATAATGCACATTCAACACCCTCCTCCTACTCGTAATAAGCAATCAACCGATGGAGATGAAAACGTACTCCATGGGCTGCAAATTTAATTTCCATTTTTTGCAGATTCACGATGAAGAACAATGAGATATTGTTTTTCATTTCAAATCCACCATTAATCATACCAAAACATACATCCATTCCCTAAATGCTTATCAATAACTTCGTCCCTTTCTGGCTCTCTCACCTTGTAACCGTACCTTCTTCATCATCCTCAAATATCATTATATACGAAGTATATTTTACTTTCTACATTTCTAGTCGCTGAAAAAAAAATATAAATAGGGGTTTCCCCTTAATAATACGGAGTATTACTAAATTAAAACTATTTTCCAAAAATGTGACCACATTTACATTTGAAAAAAATGTCACTAAGATAAAGTGACAACCAATTTTCATGTAAGATCACTTCTGGATGCATGTCACTGTCACCATGTCACTATCGTATGACATTGCCGCCATGTCACTATCGTATGGCACTGCCGCCAATGCCCCGTGTCACTGTCGCCGCCATCGCCCGTGTCACTGCCATCACCACTGCCGCCGGTCATAGTGACACCTCCGCGGTGACATCTCTGCAATGACAATTCCACACTGACACACAATTACTCTGACCACAGTTATTCCGGCGGCCACCAATCACCGCCACCATCATTGCATCTCCCAATACACCGCACTTTCGCTGCCCGCCCAATCCCAATGCCCCAACACTGGAAAACCCCCATCCCTAGCCCTATCCACACTAGCCCCGCCCCCGACATGCCCCCAACCACATCCAAAGCTTCAACTTCAACCACCCGCACCCCTGTAACTATTGCCCAAGTTACCGGAGCCCTCCCCAGTAGTGCACAGGCGGCCTCCCAGTCCCGACCTACAACAACTGTTTCATCGAAGATAGATCTGGCCGAAAACGACAATCCAACAAATCTAGACTTATATCTTATATTGAGTTTAAGGGGGAGAGGCAGATGCGACGTAGACCGACGAGTTGGCCTCGTTCCAACCCTCCTCATCCCCTGTATAACTACCACTGTTTAACTCATCACCAGCTCTGCCCCACCATGAAGGCCATCACCTCCATCTCGCTCGGATTCGCTCAGATTTGTTGGAAATTTATTGAGAAATATAGCTCAAATGTTCGATGTATTCTTGAAATATTATTTTTAATTCAAAATTAGGATACGCCCCCTCGCCATCGCATTCTCCCCAGAATCGCTCCTCTACGCTCCCGATTGTTGGGAATTAGCGCGACCAGATAGAAAGAGGAGAAAAGGAAGGGTTACTCGGATGGCAGTGCGGATGTCAGGTCCTGTACGTGGTGATGGCCGCGACATACTTCGACGACGGCCGCAGACCTAGGGGAGAGTCGAAGGCGACAACTACGTAGGAAGTCCACTAATTGCAGATCTCGGAGTGAGTTGGTTGATAGCGGGCGGTTACTTTTTTGTCTAAAACTAAATTAGTCATATTTTTGTCAATTGAAATTCTAACCATAATATTTAGGTCATTGTTTCTCTAAAATAACATAATTACTCCTTATTTCTCACTCTCGGTTACAGTAATTCAAAACATTTAATGATCCCATATTTTTTGCATGAAAATGGTTCCTAACATATATCCGTACATGGTAGTTTTCATATTTTAAACCCACATGGATAACATAAGTCATATAATTGGAAAAGGGGGTTTTAGTCAATTTTGTGTCTTTTAGTCTCCATTTAGTAATTACATAAAAACAAACTCCCAAAGTTGCTACCGGTATCACTAAAAGAGGCGGCGATCCCAAAAATATGACTAACTAGTTTTTTACTACGTACTCCCTCCATCCCAGAAAATTCTTCCAAGTTTGACTTGGATCGGAGTTTAAGAAAGTGGGAATAAAGTGGAAATGTGTGGTTGTAGTTGTGTAAGAAAAAGGTGAAATGAATGTGAGCCACACAAATAATCAAAAAGGTGAAGTTGGAAGAATTTTCTGGGACGTCCCAAAAAGGAAAGTTGGAAGAATTTTCTGGGACGGAGGGAGTATTTCTTAATTAATGGTTTCCTACTTTCATACGTAGTACGTAGTACTTCTTAGCATGCAAGTATGATACTTATTTTGATGTTTTCTCCTGTCAATTTAATTACTTCGTATTACTCATACAAAAGCATACTTATTTAGTTTGTTAGTCATATACTGTATTAGGAATCCGTGAAGTTCTAGCTAGTCGTATATACATAAACTTTGCTACTTACGTAGTACTTCTTTTTTTTGAAAGAAGTACTTCTACTATATACATTAACTCTGTTCTTAAATAAGTGCAACACATTTAATGTTATACGAGTAATAGTAATATTCGTATGTTCTACTTCAATTACATTTTATTTATTAGACAGTACGTGTATGGAATAAATTATTTAAAAAAAATTGTTAAATACTACTAACTCCGTCCCCGCTAAGATTGTCTCATTTTACTTTTTCGGAGCATCCCCTAAGATTTTGTCTCATGCCAAATTTGGTAAAGTTTGTGTGGTTCTAAATCATTCCTACTTTATTCTTACTTTATCAGTACAATATCAACCACATATACCACTTTTTATTAATTTGCGTGTCACTCTCTCTTGTCTCATTGTTAGTGCGAAAGAGAGTAGTATGCCTCAACATAAATTTTCAAAATCTGAAATAGGAAAAAAAAAAAAAGTGTTCCACTCACCTCTATAGACACGTTGGTAGACGTGAGGAAGCTCAGCCAAGTATTTAACGACGAAGGCGCAAGCAGAGCTAGCAGTATCGTGGCCGCTTATGAGAAGCCCCAAAATCTTGTCGGCGATATCCCACTCCGCCATGAACGTCCTGTCCTCGTTGCTCGTCACCAGCATGTGCGACAGGATGTCTTGGCTCGCCGTCGCCGTCCCCTCCGCCAGCTCTCTCTTCCTCTGCTTTATGATCGCCGCTAGCAGCTCCCTTCTTATGAGCTCCGACGCATTTATCGCCCGCCGGAACGGCGTCCAGGGAAGATCAATGGGCACGGAGAAGATGCCGGGCGGGATAACGTCGAAGGGCTCGGCGAACTGGGCGACGTGGGCGGGGTCCTCCAGACCGATGAAGATCCGGCAGGCCAGCGAGAAGGTGAAGCGTTTCGCGAGGGGGAAGGCATGGACTTGATCCCGGTCTTCCCAGCCGTCGGCGAAGTGACGGCGGGCGAGGTCGTCCATGATCCCGACGTATCGTTGGAGCGCTTCTGGTTTTAAGAAACTCGGAAGCAACTTCTTCATTTTTAGAGCTTCGTCTTTCGAAGAGGTCCTGCTCGCGGATGGGAAGATTTTCTCCACCTGATCCGGCCACCATGACTGCAATCACAGTTACCACAAAGCTTGGTTAACTATATTCACTTCTTCGAACAAGTTTTGAACAAGTTTGATCAATCATATTTTCAAGAAGAAATGTCCTCCCCGCCCAAAAAGATTGACCATATTGACTTTTCTTGGTCAATGGTGATCAACTTTGATCAATGATCTTTTAATACAAAATTATTTAAAATATGAAAATTATATGAGCTTATTCTTTATTAAAAAAATCTTTCATAAAAGTATAAAAATTATAAATTACACACAAATATAATATCTAAAATCATTATCTAAACTTTAACACCATAACACCATTGACCAAGAAAAGTCAAATTGGTCAATCTTTTTTGAATGGAGGTAGTATCATAAATTATGAAATATGTAGGTGTCACACAAATATAACTAATACATACTCCCTAGTACAATAGTTACTTGGTCATTATGACATGAGATAGTGGTGTGATTATTAATAAAAGTGAGTTCTACTGTGTAACTCAAAACTCATATTGATACTACGTATATGGGTGCAGGTTCAGTGGTTCACCCTCATTCATACAACAATTTTCCTGATTATTCCATCCATCTATCTATCACTTATTCCCTTCGTTCCAATTTGTTTTCCAAAGTAAACATTTTTTGGTCAACCAATAATAAAAGTCAACCCTCCCTAGCGATAATTAATTCAATTTTTAATAATTAAAATTTACATATTCAAAAACTACATTAAAATCTCTTCAAATGTGTAAACTCCAAATTAGAATATAATTAAAAAATTGTTATCCTAATTAAGTGAACAAAATGAGACTGTTTGACTAAGAAAAGTCAAATTTACAACTCTTTTTGGGACAGAGGTAGTATTAAAACCTTCATTCACACTCAACTCATCCATCATATTATGATTAATTGATTCATTAAGGGGTGAACAGCGAGTGTTTAATTATTTACACTGCCGCCCCGCCAATAGAAAAATCTTGCGTCCTCCATTGTGGTGATCACAAATAAAATAAAACCTTTCGAAAACAAACACTAATGAGCAAAAAAATAATGAAAAATATAATACTTCATAATCCTACCTCTTTCCCGGTAGACTTTGCCAAATTCAAAGTACGTATGTAAGAAATAAGATAAGTAAAAATTGTATGGTTGAGATTTGTGCAAAAAAACAAGAGAAATAAGGAGAATTACAAATTAGTTGTTTTAATATAAAAGTGGCAAAAGTTTTTTGGGACACCTAAAAAAGAAAAGTTGACAAAGTTCAATGGGACGGAGGGAGTAACACTTTTCATATTGATAACAAGATTTAAATGTATTGATGACATAATTATACATACTACAATTAATTTCGTTTAACTAAAAGCAATGCAACAAAAGTAATTTTAACTTCCAAGGCAACACACTTTTCAATGGAGTTGTGCTCTACTATAGGTGGACCTCTAATGAAAATATATGATCTATTAACTTGAGAAATTGTTCAAATATAGGACTAACCCATACACAATGTCTAAAAAATAGAATCATGTATGTTTTATTCCCAAAAACAGATATTCTCCAAATAGGACTCATTTAGTCCTATTAAAACAATAACTTGATTAAATTTTCAAAAATAGGAGTGAATGAGTCCTATTTTGAGAATAAAATATATAGGTCTATTTATGAAATTTATCCATGTTTTAGTCCTATTTAAGAAATTTTTTCTATTAAAATCTATCTATTCAAATTGGTTATAGTTTAATACTAAATGAATTATTCAATTGAACCATATTTAGGGCTATTTGGAACTACTTTTGCTTCTACTTCTTTTTAAAAAATCTCTTGTTCTACCTGTAAAAGAGTGATTCTGCTTTTATTACAGTGATTCTGCCGAAAGTGTTGGTATTAATGATCCGGCTGTTGAAAATTACTTGTACATAAATTATCAATACACATAAACTATTGATTATGAATGAACAAATAATAGTAATATTACACTATAAAATTGTAATTAAAATTCTATACAAATAATGATGACTAAACTATCTTTATCACATTCATATTCTTTTAATTACTCAAAGGAACTGAATCACACAAAATTAATTTTGTATACTTCATTGCAATATATGGATAATTTTATTTAAATGTTGATTTATACTCCCTCCATCCTAAATTGATTTGCAAATTCAACATTTTTTATCAGAGTTAAATTCTCCCTATTGATGATTAATTTAACAATTGAAATTTACATATTCAGAAACTACATTAAAATGTATAAAAATTGGTTACAAAATCCAAATTAGAATATACCTAAAAATTGATGTACTAATTAAGTGAATAAAATGAAACTATTTGACAAAAACAATCACCTAAATTAATACTACGCATATCCTAAAAGTTAAACTGGGAACTTAATTGAGGGATATGGGAAGTATATACACTCTAGCTAGCTTGTGGAAATGATGAAGATTATAACTTATAATACCTCTGTTCTACAATTAAATTCAGATTTTGACATTTTGAGTGAAATTTTAAAACTTTGACTATTAAGTATTCAAAATTTACATTACTTTGTCCCAAAAAATTAAATTCATAATTTTTTATTCTTTATTGCATTATAAATTATGGAGTATTCAAATATTAATTTATAAAAGATTCTCTAATTAAGTTTATTTTTTATATATTTATTGAGCGGCCGAAGACGTTGCGTGTTGAGAAGTATGAAATTAATTATGGGGTGGAGGGAGTAGATACCTGCAAGAGCTTGTTCTCATTTGAGAACAAGAACTTGTTGCCGTTGGCTCCGCAGAAGACAGCGACCTTCTCGCCAAGAAGGTGTGTTCGGAAGATGGTGGATGAGTACTTCTCCATTCTGTCGAAAATGAACTTTTCAGGGTGGCCCTTCCACCCCATTGACAGAAACTCGAGGGTCTCGCCGATGAGCGGCCATCCGGTCCTTCCCGGCGGCATATGGTCATCGGGCGAATCTTTCTTATTACCCAAAAGTAAGTATAGGGAGAGACAGAGAGAGAGCAACAGCACAAACATGCCCACAAGAGTCATGTAGTACATCACATCCATATTGTGTATGTACAAATTCAAATTAATTTTCGAACTATATATAAGTTGTGAATCATATCCCCTGTCCCCTGCATGTGATCAATCGTGGAAAGTATTAATCATGGATATATATATATATATATATATATATATATATATATATATATATATATATATATATATATATATATATATATATATATATATATATATACCCACATAAGCCGACTAAACGAGTGTGTATACAAATAAAGATACATATTTTCCCTAGCGAAGACTTTGATCTAGTCATTGAAATTGCAAAAAAAGTATATTAGGTGGTATATTTAGGGTGAGGTGGACTTCACCCTAAATATTCATTAACTCTTCCTATTGTTAAACAAATCGATTATAAATCGAAATTAATATTCGTTTCATATTCAAATTTGAATTGGTATTCTAAAAAAATTAAACAAATACTAAAAATAAAAATCACATTATTCGACTCGATTTGGTTCGTTTACAACCCCTCGGGTGGAGGACTGATTCCAGAACATGAGCCGATTCTAGAACATGGGCAAAGGGAGACATACAGTGGCATTTTGTTTTTTGTAATAAAACCAATTAAACTTGTTTTAGATACAACACTTTGAACATTAATATACCATTAGTTATTTTATTGCATAATACTCCTTCCGTCAAGTTATTTAAGTTCCTACTTTCCTTTTTTGAATGTCCCAGACAAGTTCACACTTATTTGGCAAACAAATCTACACCAAAACAGTGCAAAACAGTGCCAAACAGTGTCACAATAGTGTACTCTACAATAAAATTTACTCCTCGGTAAATTTATTTTCTTGATATGTGTGAAGTCAAACCAGGAACTTTATAAAGAACCGGAGGGAGCAATATATATGCAACACTTTGAACATTAATATGCAACACAAATAATATCAAAATGCATCATACATATTAAAGTTTTGCACAATAATAATCACAACTTGTACTAGATCCGCCTCCTATATGTATAATACCTAGAGTTTTATAAGAAATTACTCAAAATAGGAGTAAAACAATACGAAGTATGTTAAGTTCTAAAATAGGACTAAGTAGGTGTATTTTCTTCAATTGTCCAAATAGATGATGTATGTAGTCTTATTAAAAGAATAAAAGGATAAAAAATCTCTATAAAAATGCATGGGCCCTATTTTGAGAAGAAAATAATGATACTCCCATTTGAGAAAAATTGTTATGTTTAACAATGAATTTTCTAAAATGTTATCTACAGTTTTATATCTTTGTACACTCCTAACATAAATTGGTATTTTTTATACATACTTGTATATTTGTAATTTAAACTAAATCTTAATACACAATATTCATAATGTAATTTGTAATTTGTGCAATGTTTGAAAAATTTTAATGTAAGTTCAAATAAACTCAAACATATTGAGTTAGAATAGAAACCTATCAATGTTTAAAATTTGAGGTTTTTTCACGCAACATTAATTATGGACACAAAAATGTTAATGAAGAAGTGTTACGTGATGTAAATAAGTGAAGGAAAATAATCAGTTTTGCCTCACGAGTATAAATAAAGCAAAGAAACACGACTCTAACAAGTAGGATCATAATAAAGAGCATCTAAAGAGGATCTATTCTAATCAATGATAGGTAAGTTAAATTATTTAAAATATGAAAGTTATATTAAAATGTTTTTTATTAAAAATATTTTAATAAAAGTATAAATTTATTAATCACTTACAAATATAATAACTAAAATTATTGTTCAGATTTTACAATCGTTGGTCAAAAAAGTCAATAAGGCCAATTGTCCAGAGTTTTTTGTAAAAAGAGAACTACCTCCAGGGGCATCTGGGGGAGGGGAGCCTGGAGTAATCAAAACTAACTACATTGGGTTTCGAACGCGAGACCTCACGTAAGAGAGAGTGAGTCGGCGACCAACTGGGGTGGACCGCTTCCTCTTGCAGTAAGTTTATAAAATAATAGTAAACGTAATTTAAAAACTATTCCTAAAACATATCAAAACATCTAAATCCGATCAGAAAAGTACAGACATAATTTATCAATATTGTTGTTGTTGTCGTCGTCGTCGTCGTCATCATCATCATCATATCATTATAATAAATGTCAATATAATTATTCATATTCTTATTATTATTACTATTATTAATAATATTATAATTATTAGTTATAATAATAATTATCATGGTTATTATAACTATTAGTTATAGTTTTTTCGTCAAATCTTTCTAACTTATTATAGTATCTATGTTAAGGCCAACATCCTTGAACTGGGATGAGATTCAAACATGTGACCTACTCCGTTATAGACCACAAGTTATTTGGTTATTATTAGTTATAGTTATAATTAAAAAGATTATTACTCCTTTCGTCTCAAATTGTTTTGCAAAGTCAACATTTTTTGGTCAACTAATAATAAAAGTCAATTGTCCTGATAATTAATTCAACTTTTAATAATTAAAATTTACATATTCAGAAACTATATTAAAATATCTTTTAAGTTTTAAACAAAAAGATTAGAATATAATTAAAAATTGATATCATAAATAAGCGAATAAAATGAAACTCTTTAATCAAGAAAAGTATTAGTACGAGACCGTACGTCGCTGATGAATTCTGAACCAGACCGCTCAGCCTTGACGTACCGTCGTCCGGGCTTCTTCTGCTAATTCACCATTTTTAGGCCGGGTTCCTTTAATTTCTTTCTCTACACAAATGCTTCCTCTGCCATCTCTGTTCATATTCCTTCTTTAATTTGTAGATGAAATTTGAGGGTGAAGCTAGCCGGCCTGCAATTTCAAAGGAACCTCGATGGCTTCCGGCATCTTCTCATTCTACGTGAGCGAGTGTCCAGAGAGGGTCTCAGGGTATAGTAGCAAGCTCGAGCACCGACATCTTTTTCTTTTATTGCTTGAGAAAGTGGTACATATGTGGATCATAGACAGCTCACATGTACCTTACTACATTTAATCGCAAATGTTGTTTTTAAAAGTAAAAATGATAAAAAAAAACATATTGATGTAGAATGAAGTAGAGAGTGTATCTCGAATTTTTTGTTTCGTGTCGAGAACCGTCCTGAATTGTACCATAAATGAATAAATCGGAAAAATATAGTATCGTATCATACTCTATCGAATTTTATTAATACTACTCGTTTCACTTACATTGGGACATGAGGAAGTGACACAATTATTAAGAAATGAGTTTATATATTTGATATCGAATAGATAAAACAAGAACAAAGTAAAATGATTTCATTTGCACAAATTTTATCAATTTGGTTTCAAGTAGAAAATTTTAATGTTACGAGTCGAAAAAGAAGGAAGAGACAATTTTAGCAGGATGGAGTGAGTAATATAGTATGGTACTGGTTCTTAAGTAAGAAGCGTCCTAGAACCCAATTGAACCGAATCGTCTCATATCATCCCGAAAAATTGGTTATATAAAATAATACGTAGTATACATTTTAGTACTCTGCATATATTATATATACTCGCAAATAATCTACTTCATGGTTACTCAAAGCTTTGGTATAGACTATATAATGCACATTCTTTGGGGCCCCAATACAATTAAAGGGTACTAAAACCTACAATATTCTTGACTTTGTAGGAGTTAATTATTTAGGAATTGAATAGTTTTGAAGAACTGTATCGAATTGTACCGAACCATACTGAAAATTGGTACAAAACGGTACAAGTTATATATATTCGAGACAGTATCGATTCTTCAATTTTTAAAATAACCGTACTTTGGGTTTGTACAATTTTTTTGAAATAACCATCTCGTACAGTCTCATACTCACCCCTAAAACGAAGAAGGTGCAAAATGGATTTATAAGATATATATATTAATAATGAGAACAAATATTGTTCGTCGTAATATGCACTTTTCTCAATGGATTTACAAAGATTGATTAAGCCCTAACAATAGTGGTGGGCCCAGCGATGAATCATCAAGTAATGATTCTACATCCTTTGTTGGCAATACTAAATTAACCCACGTGTCTATGCATGATTACAAGATTGTGAAATAGACAGGTGGCCTGATCAAAAGATTGAGAGATAAGGGTCAGATAGGGTCTCAAACTTGAAAAAAAATGTCAAATAAGGCCATATTAAGGATGCTCTGTCCGGCCGACGCCATTTGGGGTGGTTCCCGGTGGAATTTTTTGATGAAATTTTTTGAGAATCTTATTCATTAAGTCTAGTTTACTCATATCAAATTTGAACTAACAATTCAATCGGGAAGGCATTCAAATGAATTCATGAAGATAACTGCGCTTTTAACGGTACAGTTATCTTCAAGAATTCATTTGAATGCCTTCCCGATTAAAGTTTTAGTTCAAATTTGATATGAGTAAACTAGACTTAATGAATAAGATTCTCAAAAAAATTCATCATAAAATTCTACCGGGAACCACCCCAAATGGCGTCGGCCGGACAGAGCATCCTAAATATGGCCTTATTTGACATTTTTTTTTCATGTTCGAGACCCTATCTGACCCTTATCTCAAAGATTGAAATTAGATGAATAGATTCATTACATGGATATGATGGACAATTCACACTAGCTTGTAATGTCCATGATTTTACAACACAAACGTTAATTTTTTATGATAAAAAAGTTACTATTATACTTTTGAAAGATAAAAATATGACATAGTTTTCATTATAATGAACTAGTATAGTACTCGTGCATACGCACGGGATAGAGCAGTTGGTGCCTATAATTTTTAAAAATGATGTAATTAAATATTAAAATAAAAACAACATTTTAGGATTCTACATTTTCGGAAAAAAATAGTAGTTCAATAAGCTAATACTATAAAATATAAGGCCATAAAATATATATTCAGTGAAGAGTATATTAGTAAAAATTAAGTGACACTACTCATTAGAATTTGCTACTAATTCATTTTCATGATTAGATTAATTTTAAAATTAAGTAATATTCTAAAAATGTGAGTACAATAAGTGAGTGACGTAAAGTTTAAGTGATTACAATAAAAACTGAAGTTACGAATATTAGTTAAATAATAACTTGTCATTCATTAGTAAATTAGTGCTAACATATGTGGGAGAAAATTATCCTGCTCAATTCTTGCCGGCTTATCTTGTTATACCTAAAACAACTACATATGAGGAAAAGTTCTCTCACTCAATTGTTAGCCAGATAATCTTATCTTATACCTAAAAGCACTATGTATGAGAGAAAAAGTTATACTTTTTAATTGTTAGTCGGCTTATCTTATACTAAAAAGAACTACATATGTGATGATTCGCCCGCTCAATTGTTAGCGACTTTACCTTCTGATAACTAAAATCACTACATATGAGAGAGAAAATTTTCGCTTAATTATTAGCAAGCAGGTTTATCTTGTCATATCTAAAAAGACTACATATGAGAGAGAAAATTCTTCCGTTCAATTATTAGTCGGCTTATGTTATACCTAAAAGCACTACATATGGAAGAGAAAATTTCTCTGCTCAACTGTTAGCCGGATTATCTTACATACGGAATACTTAAGAAGAACTACCCATGAGAGTGAAAGTTCTCTCGCTCAATTGTTAGCGAGTTTATATTCTTAGTTTCTTCTTAGGCCTAAAAGCACTACATTTGAGAGAGAAAATTATCATGGCCAATTGTTTAGTCTTCTTATCTTATACTTAGAACTACATATGAGGGAGAATGTTATTCCACTTGATTGTTAGGAAGCTTATCTTCTACTACGTAATACCTAAAAGCACTACATATGAGCAATAAAATTCTCCTGCTCAATTCTCCTTCTTAATTGTTGGCAATCTTATCTTCTAATACCTAAAAGCACTACATATGAAAGAAAAAATCTTGTAGCTGAATTATTAGTACGCTTATATTTTTTTAAATCTAAAACTCTTACATATGATAGAGAAAGTTCTCCAGCTCATTTGTTAGCCGGTTTATCTTCTTATACCTAAAAGTACTACATACGAGAGAAAAATTTTGGTCTCTCATGTTAGTTGACTTATCTTATCTTCTTATACTTAAAACCACTATATATGAGAGAGAAAAGTATTCCGCTCAATTGTAGCTGACTTATCTTATACCTAAAAACATCATATATATATATATATATATATATATATATATATATATATATATATATAGATTAGGATCACATACAAACTAATCATAATTTACAAAATGCAAACTAATCTTAACCATTGATTTTAATAATCCAACAGTCAAGATAGGAAAGCAATGCATTAATGGTTGGTCCCATGTAATATGGATTATAGGAGAAAAATTCTCCACTAATACGGATTGAGTATTAATGCTCAAATAAAAACTAACCCTTGATTTTGTTAAATTGGATGGATGAGATGAATTTGCATTTTGTACCGGAAGCACACTTTGTATCTGATCTTAACCCTATATATATATATATATATATATATATATATATATATATATATATATATAGAGTGCTCTTCATGTCAGGCCGGTCTGACGAGCTGCCCCGTCCGGCCGAGCCCGTTTGGGCACCTTCTCGGTGGAATTTTTTGATGAAATTTTTTGAGCATGTTCCTCATCAAGTCTAGTTTGTCCATACCAAATTTCAGCTCAAAATTCAATCGGGAAGGTCGTCAAATGATTTTTGCAAGTTAACTGGTCTGGAAAATACATATTCCGGACCAGTTAACTTGCAAAAATCATTTGACGACCTTCCCGATCGAATTTTGAGCTGAAATTTGGTATGGACAAACTAGACTTGATGAGGAACATGCTCAAAAAATTTCATCAAAAAATTCCACCGGGAAGGTGCCCAAACGGGCTCGTCCGGACGGGGCAGCCCGTCAGGCCGGCCTGACATGAACATTTGATTCGCAAGTTTATTTTCAATTGGCTTCTTATTTGAGTTGATAATCTACTTTAGTGCTTCTCTCATGGTCCATTGACTCATGAACAAATAAATTTTCTGTATGGAACCATATCATTTCGTCATTTATTGATAAATCAACTTTGATTCTCTCTCATCCAACACTATGATACTATGAACATGATTTTAAAAATTCACTTGAAGTCAAGGCACTATATGATACTATTTCTAGCACTATGTTCATTATAGAGATCTTTTCAGGAATGATATTTCATCAATAGAGGGTGCTCATAATTCTATCTTGTTTGTATGTACAAAATTGGATATCCGCAATAGTAACCAAATTCAAGTATGTTTATATTTTCGAGTCACTTACATATTATAAAGATATATTATTCAGGAGGAATCATATGAAACTTTGTTGTAAGTCTATCTCATTCTTTTTACTTTTAAAGGTGATTTGATTCACTGATAGTAATAATACCATTAATAACACCAACAACAACCATAACAATAACAGTAACAACAACGACGACGACGACGATGATGATACTCCCTCTATCTCGTAAAAAATTTTACGATTTGACTTGGATCGGAGTTTAAGAATGTGAGAATAAATTGAAAACATGAGATTGTGGTTTACGTAAACAAAAGTAAATGAATCTTAGTCAATTGTTACATTAGGAATCATCTGAAACTCTTTTGTAAGTCTATCTCGTTTGCATGTACATAATTGGAAGTCCAAATAATAACCAAATTCAAGTATACTTATATTTTTGAACCACTTACATATTACTATGATAAAGAAATTATTTCAACATGTTGATTTTTAATGAAATGTGATTCTTTAAGATTCTCCGTTGTTTACTTTTAATAGTCGTTTTTCAAAAAGTCCCTTTTTATTAGCCACCGATCTATTGTTACTTTCATGTTCTAATTTTGATATTTGGAGTCAGTTTAGTAACACTGAAATTGGCTACTTCACCCGATTCTTTTTAAATTGATGAAATTTTGACAGAAGTGGCTGAATTGATTGAAATTGATTCTTTTGATTTATGGATGAATTTAGTCTAAATTATATTTTATTAATGAAGTAAAT